GAATCGTGAAAAGTGAATATGGCAAGTGTCGGCTTTGTAAGTTAAATGTGATTCAGTTGTTTTCAAATCATTTTCCTGATGTATTAGGTTGATTTTGAGTTACGCCTCTATTCTAGAAAGCCATCGATTTATACACCAAATGTCAATTTCTGGTAAGAATGTGTAGCATATTTTCCCACTACGAAAGTAACTAGATACTTAGTTCATTCATTACTAAAAAATTCTTGGCAAATACTCAGGCGTCGTCGTGTTGATAACGATTTCTAATTAGAATCTGTTTACAAAACTCAATAATTTAACTTGGACGTGTGTCCGATTTCAACACTTAAATACGCGCACCGCTTTGTCGTATAGGAAAATATTATGACCTCAGTTTCTCGTAAAGGCCATGTGATACTTCTCATACAGATCCATGGTAATTTTGAATATGGCGCCTCAGATTTGAGAATGAGAGAGAAGGCTCAGAAGTAGGTAATTATAAGTGAACTTTTGACCCTGTGTCCTTTTAAATGTAAGTAAAATCATAATCATTGTATTGTAAATAAAACCTATTCAAGTTTATCTACGTGAATTGCAGACTGAAAAGTTGCCTCACACCAGTAGATCTATCGTATGAGGCTCCCAAAAAAAACATGTAAAACATAAAGGTATAATACCCAATACATAAAGGTTTCTGTTTTGATACTTTTGCCGATTATACTTAATTATATGGAACACAGAAGATTACTTTGTTTGTTCTTTTTTAATGTTTTAAAAATAAATTATCAAATTGTCATGCATGCCGCGTAGCTAGCAACCACAGAATTTGTGAATAACCGCTTTGTTTACAAAATGTAAGTAGTAGGTAGCTCACGCACCATATACTTGTCATGTGGAAGTAACAACGCGACATTTAAGTATTACACACATGGTAACTTCGAACAATACAAAGAGTAATCCAATCGAGAGTTGCAACAAATAGGATCACGATTTCGATTCTTCAAATCGTGTGAAATAAATGAACAATGGATTAAAGTTTAGTAACGCATATTTGATACAATAACTTTATAACACTATCGTATTGTCACTTTGCTATACAAACATATATATAACATCTAGTATATAACCAGTTATAGAAATAAATGATTCACGCACTGATTTTTTATATACTTTTTATAGATAATTGTAGCGTTTTGCTATTGGCTGTTTTGCTTTGATAGCTACTTGGTGTTTTGTAACAAATTAATAAGCTGTAAGTACATTTACTTTGGCCTTGCTCAGTCGTTGTTAACACTTAACCTTTAACCCATTGATTCAGTCCGCCATAATATTTTTTCAGAAGAGTAGTTCCCCGTTCAGCAGCCGTTGACAAGTAGGGCTACTCACCCATTCACAGGAGTGACGTAAGAGGAGTTCGATTATGGTCAGGGGACAAGGTATTGTCGTTGTTAGAGATAACTTTAGTTATAATCATTCGAAGGAGTGATCGAGGCTTAGGTAATCCCCCTTTTTCTAAAAGTTGATATTTGTGGTTGGTGATATTTAAAAACGTCTTAAGAAGACAGGTTAGACGGGTTTTATAGGCAAAAAATTAAGTAACTAACGTGTATTTATTCATATCTGTATCATCACACTTTAAATAAGATTTTAACGATTGTACTCGTATATGCAAATCATCAAATTTGGTTCTTGTCACAAGGTAGTACGCTTTAATTATACTACGTATAATTCGCCTATAGTTACATAAGTCAACGTATTTTTCAATAGCATCATTTACCGTGACATCGTCACTTGTTGCTTGGTTGTGAAGTTTTTAAGTAAACAGCTATAATATTTTTCTGCAGGTAGTTGGTGGACATTTCTAGTACCTCTGGCTATTACCTACAGTCAGTAGTCGGCTGGGACGTGACGCAAGTGCTATTGTGTCCATTTAGTTAAGTGACCAATAACGATTTCACTCAGTTCACTACGTGTGACTCGGTGTTATCATTATAAAGTCCACTACTCCAACTTCTACTTTGTTATTTTTCTTTTATTAAACTAGCTACTATTAATTAACCACTATATTCAAGTCTTATGTGCATAGATAAGTCACATTCGCGATGTCTAAAATTAAATGTACGGTATTACAAACACGAAATGTTTATTGTTTCTGTTTCTATATGTGTATATATATTGTCACCTACATTAATAAGCAGAAATTGTTACCAAACAATAAGGTCTCTTATTGAATCATAATTTTTTTGTTTATTGTCGTCATTGTCTAATTGTCTATTGGATATCGAATGCTTGTCCTTTGTGTACAATAAATATTTGTAGTCTATCTATTATTCGTAATGCCTTTATTTGTCAAAACAATGCATAAAACAAAAAATATCAATGATATAATTCGATATTTGTAAATATAAGTATTTTAGAAATAAAACAGATGTGATCATTTGTTAACAGCATCTTACCCTTGAAAATGAGTGAATTAGCAATAAAATATTACGGGGTTAGCAAATGCATACACATAAAGGTAGATTTGTATATGAATTAGCGTGATAAGTGCTAGTGGTTATGATAATAAATGACCAGGAACAATAGAACAATGAAAATCCCACGGACTGTTGAGACAAGTACCTACGCATCTCCTTTGTTCTAGGAAAAAACCCTACTTATTTTAATGTTCAACGTAAACATTATTTCCTTATAGCACTTTTTTAGTGTAAGCTATCTTTTTCATTTGTACACCTGTATGAGAAATGTGAAAGACTAGCTAAGGAAAATGGGGAACAGATGAGGAATACTCAAGAGAAATCAGCCTGGATGACTTTGAAAATGAAGAAAGCGATTCATAGTTTTAACCTAATAATCAAAAATGAATAGAGAACATTAAAGAAGAAACAGAGAACATGTTAAAGTTCTATTGTATAATATTCAATGTATATAGTTATGTTATGGATAATCATCAATTTAAGGAAATCTTTAATTACAATCTAGCGTATCAATCACAACACCTAACTACTTAAATATATAATTTAAATAAGCTAATTACTAAATTCATGTATTATGTACCTAAATATTTAGTACTGTAACACAATAACTTTAGCAACATTAGTTAGAACAGTACCGATGTTTACCACTAGATGGCATTGGCATAGAAAACGCAACTTCTGAATCTCGACGTTAAGATTTTCCCTAATTTAACGACCTGTGACTAGTACTTTGTATGAAATTGATCTGATTTATTATTGTACTTATCTAAGTTATTATTGACCGATTCAACGATTGCATTTCTACGGTTATCCTCATTACTGAGGAAGCGTTTCGAACTCGCGCCCATCTTTCGGGACAAGTTACAACAACACCTCAGAGCACCCATGTCTTTTTGTAAGATTCGCACCCACCGGGATTTGTCGCGGTCTCGCATCCAACGGGACGTATCCCTTTTGTTGGACACACTTGTATTGTAAGCTTCTGTACAATAAATCAACTTATCTTCACCGGAGTAAGCCGTGTGGTTCCTGGACGTAGTAAGAGGGCACCAGGTAGCTGAGCCAACCTCTACCACACTCTACACCCCCTCTTACTACAGTACAAAATATACCACTATAGAAATTGAAAATTGTATAATACATTCACATGGTCTCAAAGTCGATGTTTATAGACTGAAAAAAAATAGTCCACCATTGGGCAAAGGGTCTAGCTAGTCGGTACATCTATAATCAGAATATAACCCAGTTCTATTCACTAAGTAGCTCTGAAGATTGTCGTACTCCACAAGCCAGGTAATTGAATGGTAAATAAATAAACCAACCGTTGTTAAGGACATTACATCTACTTAAGAGTTCTACAAAAACCAGTTAGATATATTAAAACCAACAGACATCATGTTTTCCTCTACTTTTTTATGATCTTAGAAATTTGTATACACGATTTTTTGCACAAATTTTTAAGAATTATTTTTTTTCAATGTAGATAGAGTTATTATTCTAAAGAATGGAAATGAAGAGAAGATGAAAGTAAACCGTATTTTTCATACAGGTAACTATACATTAATGTTTACATAAGCAAAAACCCATATTACTATTTATTTTAAGCTCGTCCGAAACTGCCTGTATAAATACTATAGGAAAAAATAATTAACCTGGTAATCTGTAAACTTACGATGCGGTGTACCTACTGTATTAAATGTAATTGTAATTTTAAACGTTATTTCGCTACTTTACAAGGTCGCCGACAATAAGTAGATACGTGTCACGATTGAATGAACGATCTGGTAGGTACATTTATCAGCCTTGTAACATATTACTAAAACTAAAGTAATTACCACGTTCCTACCGAAACGAATACTATTATTTAATAATTAATTATTATAAATCTCTAATCATCTTTAAAATATTATAACATTATACAATATCACCTTTGTATTTAATAATAAAGTGACTACCTATAAGACTGTATCAGTAGTCTACCTTATGCTGCGACATGAACATATAGGTGATGATTGTGATAGAGAATTTAAAATCTATTTATTTGGACCGAGTTTTTTGCACTCACGTCTTGGCGAAACATGAAATCATGGTAAGTTTTAACCACAAAGCCGCGGGTTATACTTGTGTTTACAAACAGGCAGTTAAGCGACAGCGTTGCGCCGCTCGGCCGCAGCGGGGACAGCCTAAGAGAAAGGCACTTTCCCGCAGTCAAACGCACTTAGCCGTTTACTCAAATTCTTAGTTTTATTTTCACGACCACTACCACACTATCATTCAAACAATGCAAACTGTTTCCTATAACACGAAAACTTGACAAGAATATACTCAACTTTGTTACGCACAAAAAGAAGGCATACTAAACCGATAAATCCAATGCCAAGTATGAAACACAAATGTCGGAACGGTGTATGTAGTTAAGGTCAGTCTGTTCTTTGTCATATAAACAAATTATGCACTTCAGTTTCACGTAAAAACATACATGTAGGTGGTCCGTGTGTTCGTGTTTTATCTAACATTACAGTAAAATGAGTAACGGTGTCATACCGGTGGTGGTTCCGACGTGCTGTACACTTCGGATGGTGGGTACTCGGGTTTCATGGTGATGGTCGCCATGGAGTCCGGTTGGTGCTCCTTCTCCATCACAATTAATTCTTCACAAAATAAAAGTTAATGTTAAATCAGTGCAGCGCGCGCTTTGTTTGACGATCGAAGTAGAAGTGTGCGAGTGAATGGTAGCGCTAGCGCGGTAGTAGCATCGGTGGCGGACGGCGCGCGCGGCGGCGGTGGCGGCGGCGTAGGCGCAGCTGTGGTGGGGCCAAAGCGACCACGGCAGTCACTTGGATGTGGTTGAAGATGAGTGATTGTAGTATGTACTCTTAAAAGATGTCTAAAATTTCTACCTATGGTAACAAACATTCACCATGGCGTTAAAGTCAATAGACAGGTTTATACTTAAGGTAAATTTGACCAAATAACAAACCTAAATTCCTTTTCGTATCTCTTTACGCAATATTTAAGATTGTTTTAAAGACCTTTTCCCCAAAAATGTTTATAAAATAACATTGTTCCGTATGACAAGAACTACTGTGAAACAAAAACTCTAAAAAAACTAAAATTAAAACCATGGAAAATCCCCGACACATTATATGGTTGAGATCACTACTAGAATAAAGCAGATGATCCTTAAACACCTTGACATGCAACTGTGTGTGTTGACAAAGACTTAAAACTTATAACTCCCCTTTTTTTGTTAAAAAATAAGTTACCTATTTATTATAACAAATATCTATGAAATTGGACCGTTCAGCTCTTTCTGTTTACGTCTACCTAGGACACGGTTACAAATGATAGATGATTTCAAGTGTAATTTGTTTAGGTACCTATTGAAATAAAGCGTTTTTGATACCTAATTAAAAATTTTAACACTATTATATTGTGTATTAAAGGACTGATAAGAATAGAATAAGTATACAAAAGGCGACTAGATCCGTAGTGTGTGCTTACCCTGCCTAAAAACAGTACTTATAATTTAAAGGATGCGACAAGAAGGTCCATCAATATTTCATCAATCACACACACACACACACACACACACACATCAATATTTATTTTTTGCAATTTCATATCTCCATACAAAATGTGTGGTCGATCGGACATACTTTGTTCGGGAAATCAACTATGCTACATTTAGTATAAATAACCAACAGTTGAAATCCTAAGAATGATCTGTTACATTTGGTTACCTAACTAAGCTATTTAAATTTAAATAGCTCTTCAAAAGTTTCAAAATAGTGGCAGTTATTCACTATTACCCACTAGGTACTTTATAGTCGTCTGATGTTTCAAGTACACACAACATGCTAATTAATGTGTTGCCAAGGCATCAAAAATGAAAGACTAGTGTTTGTGTACTCTCAACTTTATAAACTTATCAAAGATTTAATTAAAACATAATTTTTACGAGAGATTCATTGGCGAATATGTAAGGTCTTTCTAATCTCGATTTATTATACAGTGTTTGTGATCGGAATTGTTATGTAAGATCGTACAGTGTATGGTTCGAACTGTAGCGGGCCAGCGGCAAAATACAAGGCAATCCTAAGACAATTTGCTTTGCTCGATTTGATATTAGTGTTGTACCAACATTGGCCCAATTTTCACATTTCTTACATCAATTTATACAGAAATGATTACAGTGTAATCGTAGGAATAACGTGACGATAAAGATTCTTGGTTCTATAGAATCCAAAATTACTCAAAAACTATAGGCATCTTTCTATGAAAATACAATTTTTTTTTTTTAATATCGAAATATTTAACTAAATAAGATTCACTTCATGGATTAAATGAAAATTATGTCAATTACCTTTAATAATTTATCGACATTTTATTATCTACCGACTTTTGTCACGTAGTTACGTGAAACATAAGCCGCATAAGCACTAGCTACGAGTGGACATAAAAATAAAGATAAAAAAATGGTGGGAATTCGAAGTAAAAGGAAGCTAAAAGATTTAAAATTTAAGACAACGTAGAATAAAAGGTAAATAGCATGGAAACATACAAGAAGATAATATACCTACTAAGCCGTGTTTAAAATGCAACTTCTTCTATTAGCAAATGAACAAAGTGATTTAAATGAAATTGAAAACATAAATAATAACTCCCGCCGCTTAAAATACTATTCAGACTATTTAAAAAACCCAAAGTTGTTTTTGCCATTCTAGAATGTTATTATTATTAAAAACACAATAGAAAACATATATGGAGGATCCCGAAAACTAAATGAAGGCCTGGCTCAAAAAACTTGTATCCTAGCCAAAAGCCTTAATAAAAAAAAATATTCTCAGTCTTGGCTGTATGTCGCATTAGTGCCTTTGCCTTCTCCAATGGAAAAAACAGTACCAAAAATATATACATTTAACCTATTATATTTATCTTGTACGGATTTCTCTTATTATTTTATTAACTATAATACACTTAGTTAATCATTTACAAATTAATAAAAGAGAATGGCCAGTTCCGGAAAAGGTACATTTCAACCGGTAAGTCGTTTTGCCATAGCATAGCACAGATAGGTTACACCTACTTAATTCCGCATATGTATCAGTTTTTGACTAGAATTTGGATATTTGGGTTTCCAGGACTCGGATGTTCACATTTCCTACGAAGATCAACAGAAAATAAACAAATTTGCTCGGTTGAACGCCAAAGTAGATGATCTTAAAGACGAGTTAAAAGTGAAACAGAACGATATGAAAAATCTAGAGGAAGCCGTAGAGGAACTGACCCTCGCAGACGACACTGAGAAGATACCTTACCTCGTTGGAGAAGTATTTATATCACTGAGTTTAGAAGATACTTTGGTAAGTACGCTGATGCTTATTTAACACTTCTGTTGTAATATTATTCATACATCATAATTATTTTACTCTAGCAATATTATTATGTCCTATACCAGTGTTGTGCAAATACGGCCTGCGAGCCAACTCCGGCTTGCCAACAGTAAAAGTGTATGGCCCTAGGATATACAGGGTATAAAATCATTCAGTGTGCCCAGGCGATTATTCCATAAATATAAGAGTAGAAAGTATGTTACCTAATGAGTAAATCGACATCAATAACTTTTTAAAATAAAACTAGAAATATCCAAAATTTTAACATTAAACACTACCATACATTTAATATGACATTCATAGGCAGGCTTTAGTTGACCATTTAAGAGGTAACAATAAGTTTACAGATAACAAAAGTGCTATAAATAAAGTAATAAAACTATCTTATAATTGAATAAAAATATAATGGCATAGTCAATTATTTGGTCAAGTGTGAGTTGTCCACAAAAATGGATAAAACATGAAATTTTTTTTATTGGTCATCAACTCTGAACTGAAGCTGAGTTGATGAGCAATAAAATTAAATTATATGTATAATAAATATTATAAAATACATTTTTATCATCCCCATACAATGAAAAAAATCAAGACAGCAGAAGTTGGTCAAATTTAATAAAAGTTTTCATACAAATCTCTTACATTTATGGAATACTCGCTTGGGCACATTTAACAATTACACCCTGTATATTTTGACATGAGGTTGTCAAAATATATTTTCTATATACTGGCGTACAATATTGACATGCAAAATATATGTTAACATACACACAAAATAACAACACCACACAGTAATCTAAAAACATTAAAAAGAATGCATTTTTCAATTCTGGCCTGCTGTTTTTTTGTTTTTTTTTTGTTCCTAATGAAAATAGTTATCCCACCCCTATCCCTGTATTATATTAGTTAAGTTTTTGTTCTCTACTAAAATCCACATTTCTACTTACCAAGATTGAGGTGGATATATTATAGACATTTTTAATTTCTTCAAGAAACAAGGCATTTACACCATAAAATTATTAAGACTAGGGCTTTTCATAATAACTAAGTGACTGGATGAACAAGTTGTGTGCCTTGTTGTAGGCGACATGCCTGTCCATACATAACAGTTGCAGTATCACTTGAGCTTTGCTTTGCTGGCAGAGGGGCACTGCCACTGCACCCGACACTGTGAGACATTAATTGGCAAGTCCCATGTGCCTGTAATTTCACCAGTAATGCTCATATTACTGCTTGGGCGGCAGAAATAAGTAAGGTGGCAGTACTTTCCTGGATGAACTCTTTCACAAGGAGCTCTACTGCTACTAAATCACTTATTGATTAAATGGATGATATTGAGCCTTTAAGGTGTGCCAAGAATGTTGGCATGAATATTGCTTGTGCTAGAATATTATAAACATTTACACTTACTTTCAGGTATCTTTGGATGAAGCAAAGTCAAAAAAGGAAGGTGAAATAAGTGAATTAGAAGCAAAGTGTGAAGACCTTAAATCTCAGATGAGCGAGCTGAAAGCACATCTCTATGGAAAATTTGGAAGCCATATTAATTTAGAAAATGAGGAGGACTGAAATAAAATAAAGGTGTAGCTTATTGAACAATTGGTTTATTATGTTAGCATTTTAATTTGAATAATAATTAACATATACTTTATATGGACAACAAATATGGCCGTGGGCCTTTCCAATTTTTCACATTCTGTACACTGTATGATATATATATAACATTTCTTAAGCAACTTGCCTATTTTGCAGATGTGCTACATACTAAATCATTAAACCACCTACAGTAATTTACAAACACACTACACAAATGTCAGTTTCGTAACTGCATATGTGCACAGTGTATGCAGTGCACTGCAACAGGCTGACAACTTTATACATTTTTCCAAGAAAAGTACAGATTTATGTTTTGCTTTAAGCCCAAAATACTGTTCTAGATTTATTGTCCTTTTAAAGACAAGTTTTTTTTTTTGTATACGCAAAACTTAATTGTACTAAAAATACTGTCAATGCCGGAACATTTATATTATAATTTTACTAAAGACCATAGTTTCATTGATGAAAACATATTTAGATGTAAAATAAAAAATACCCCGAAAATCCCTGAACACAAGCATAAAATTACAGAAAAATATATTAAGTACATAATTTTACAAAGATTTAAGAATACTTGATTTACAACATATAATGACATTACAACATTGAAGTACCCTGCTAATAAAGCTATTTAACAACACTGGAACTAATTACACTAATATTAAGCAAACAGTAGGCATTGCTCTGGCCACACATATTCGGCCGCAAGGGCGATCCGGATGCGGGGTTTTTTATAATGTAGGAGTTCATTTTGTATTCCATTGAGTTCTATGCAACCGTCAACATAGAGCGGCAGCAGCGGGTCTTTGACGTTGTATATTTTTACAACTGTGTTTTTATTAAGTTCCAATATGAATTCAACCGATTTTGTGTTACTTCCGTAACGCTTATAAAAGCAGAAAATTGTCTTGATTATTATTCGACAGCGATGTGGTCTATTCTTTAAACTCTTTGTTGAAAATGCTGCTGGTGCAAAGTCCCGGTACGCATTCCCGTAATTCCGCCCTCGGACCGCTTTTCCCGCTGTACCGCCACTGAGTAGACCGAGCTTAATTTTTTAAAATAATTACGATTTATGCCGTTCATTCCAAAATAAATAATATGCGACAGTTTGGTCATAATATTTACAATTTGTTTACCTAAAATAATAGTTAACATGTATTTTACACAACCGAAAACATAAAAGCTAATTTGTATATAACATGCCTCTACGCATAACTTTGGTAGCAGATTTTATGTTAAATTACTATCACATTAAAACAATGATCACAATCACTAGAATCACATAAAATTACATTTCTAATTATATAATTTCTATTAACAGAACCATCAATAAACATTGCATTTATAACAACTATTACTAAAAAAAGTTTTAAGCAATCAGGGGATCTACTCTCGATCTCCGTCCGACATCCGTCCGAAACAATTATTGTCAAATAAGTAATATTCGACAAAATTAAAAGACAAGTATCATGTATGAAGCTTCATTCGCATCACGCGTCTTTTCATTTGGTCAAGTATTACTTATTTGGCAGTAATTGTTTCGGACGGAGATCGAGAGTAGACCCCCTGAACAAAATCGGCTAGGTATAAATACAAAGAGTCCAAAATAATACCACACCTACTCTCTTTATACTTACATTCTAGCTCCACATACCGAACGCGGTGTGTCACGGTTTCTGCATAAATTAGACCGCGTGCGATTTTTATTATTTACAAAATTCTAAATAAAACCATGCCGCCATTGATGTTGGGAGCACCGTATACCGTGCTAAAATGCCTCAATTTTGAATTCTTTGGTTATTTGTCAAACATTTACCACTGACTGCCTGAATTGGTCTAAAGCAGACATGGGCAAGCACCCGGGTGTTAACGCCGTTACTTTGTTAACGCCGGGTTTAAATGAATTAAAACCATTAACGCCCTAATAAGAGGCCATACTATTCACATTGTTGTAAATCGAGTTTTGTTCAAATGGAATGATAATTATTATTACAAAATGTTTATTGCTTTCTGATATAGACAATTTTATTTGCCTTTCTATTGAATTATTCCGCTTGAAAATCGAATTGAAATAAATTGATTAAAAAATCGTTAAATCGTATGCACTTGAATCGATCTTCATACAAATCGAATTGTATGTGCATCCAATAGTTAGAATCCACACGATTGCAAGGTGGGTATTGTGTGGAGGTGCCTCTTTTTCGTGTAAAAAATACTGTTTACATCTAGTTTTGTAAAACGATGGAATTATACGAAATTCTGTATTCGCCGTTTATGTCCATGATTTTGGGCAGGAATGAGTTAAAACCTTTGGTTTGGATAAAAACCCGGGCGGGTTTATTGGGTTTTGAGCCACTGCCCATCTCTGGGTTAAAGTTATCATGACAATGGTTACCACAGTCCCACAGATTGTTTTTGCTTAATAAAATTTATCTGTGTGTAGGATTCTAAACGCCCCTCTGTAGGTTGTGCGAACTAGAAAGCGAGCTCGTTTGCAAGCTCTCCTCCTCATCCGTTTCGTGATCATTGGATATCCTGATGGCCTGGTACCACTGATTTGTAAGATCTGTCATTTGAGTTTTGCAGTCTTTCAATTCCTGCAAATAAAATGTTAAATCATGTATATATATAAATAACAGATTCTTGAATAAACTAACTTCATTATTATTTTATTATACAGGGCGTCACACGGCAATGCCACACGGAGGGAAACCATAAATACCGTAGATAGAAAATTTTACTAAAAAAAGACTTCAGTTTGGTTAAAAGCAATTGAAACTGCATTCAAAGATCTTTAAATAATCGCCTGTCCGAAACGGGAAACGAACTTAATTTTACTAAACTAATTGAAACGCCTCAATCATAAGAATTGTTTTTTTTTGGAAAGTATAGCATCGTAAACCGGTATTTAAGGTACTTTCTTTCCATGTTGTATAGCCCTGAGACGTACATAAAGTACAAGTTCCAATTCCAAGTGTTCCTTGGCTGCAGAAAAAAATTTGCAGTTCCCTTTGAAAATTGGCATGTGGGGGTCTCTAGGAGTGCTTGATAATAATTTGTGATCAATATTACATTTTCGCCTTTTTTTAAAAATGGCTACCATACAAACGTTATCATTGTTTAAAGAGCTGTTTTCATTGTTTAAAGCCAAGTCAAAAATAGGCCGTAGGCCGAGGTCCATCGGAGAGCGAAGCCCGAAGCGTCTGCACGCCACCGTAGATAGTTTATGGAGACTCTGCTACGAATGCAAGGTCTTACAATGGTTAAAAAATGTAAAACATAGTGATATTGTCAAGCTCTTCGCCGATTTCTTCTCGTCTGTTTATGGAAAAAACACAACAGTGTCGTACACCCCTGATTTCCCCGGTCATAATTACTCTGTGAGTAAATTACAGATACAGAGGGACACTGTATTGGCTTTACTAAGGAACATTGACTTATCTAAGGGTGCCGGACCGGATGGTATTCCACCAATATTTATCAGAATGACTGCTTCAGCATTGGTCGATCCACTTACTATAATTTTCAACAAATCACTTGAGGAAGGAGTGTTTCCGTCGTTATGGAAAACTGCTAAGATTACGCCGATTCACAAATCTGGTGACAAGAATAATGTCTGCAACTACCGTCCTATTAGTATATTGAGCTGGTTCTCAAAGTTTCTTGAGTCACTTCTATATCAACATCTGTACAATCATGTCAGCCCTGTTCTTAGTCGCAAACAGCATGGCTTTGTTGGAGGTAAATCGACTAATTCTAATCTACTAACCTATTCCACTTTCTTATGTGACTCTTTTGACAGCAAGAGGCAAGTTGACGCTATATACACTGACTTTGCCAAAGCCTTCGACCGTGTGAATCACTCGATACTGTTGGCAAAGGCAAATCACTTGGGTATTCACGGAAATCTGCTGCGTTGGCTTACTTCATACCTCCTAAATCGTTCTCAACTTGTTGCTCTGAGTGGTTATGAGTCTTCCCCTTTTTTTCTTGGGCTCCGGAGTCCCCCAGGGGTCCAATTTGGGTCCGTTTCTGTTCTTGATTTTTATTAACGACCTCCTCAATACCATCCAGTGTGAGTGTCTAGCTTTCGCCGACGATATTAAGATTTATTCTAGAGTTGTGAGAATTGATGATTGTGCGGCTCTACAGAAAAGTCTGGACATAATTACTGGATGGTGTAATAATAATCATATGTCACTTAATGTTGGTAAATGTCAGGTGATATCATTTACGAAAAATAGAAACCCATTGCTATTCAACTACAGCATAAATGGATCTACTCTAGCGCGAGTTCAAACTATTCGTGACTTGGGAGTATATTTTCGATTCGCACCTGACATTTCGGCCACATTACGATCATGTCTGCAATAAGGCAAATCAAATGCTGTTCTTTCAGCTCCGACATGCCAAACCATTTAATAATATTAAATCGTGGATTATTTTGTATGGAACCCTCGTTAGGAGCATCCTGGAGTATTGCTCATCAGTTTGGTTTCCTATATATAAAGTTCACGTAGATAGGATTGAAGCTATTCAGCGCAGATTCTTACGAGCTTTGTCTGCCAGATGTGGAGTGCGTAAAAGAGTGCACGAATACGAAGATCGTTTGAATTATTTCAATATGGTTACTTTGGAGGAACGTAGATGGATGAATGACCTACTAACACTTCATAAAATCACAAATGGACTCTCTGGTGGCTCTTTGCTGGGGATGCTGCTCTTCAACGTGCCGACTCGGTCTGTACGAATACAGAAATTGTTTTCTATACCAGTTTCTCGAAACAATGTTTCACAAAATAATCCTATCCATAGAATGTGTAGATGTTATAATGAAATATGCACAAATTGTGATATTTTCAACTGCAGCGTCCCTGCCTTCAAGAAGTCTCTTCTAGCAATGCGGTGTCATAAAAAATTAAGTAAATTGTAATCTAATGTTTGTTTTTTTCCTTGTTTCTTTATTAAGTTGGTCTTGTTTAAATAGTGTATTACCTAAGATTTTTGTATAAAAAAAAAAAAATGTTGTATTTTGTTTTTTCTTATTTATTTTTAAATGAATACTGTAAGATTGTTATCGAATGCTGAGCACAATTATAATTGGGCACAGATATGCGTATTGTAATAATTTTAAGTGTTTCTTTTTTGTATCTCTTTGTATCTGTTGTCTGTTTTTGTGTCAAACCTAATAAAATAAAATAAAAATAAAATACTTCCCGATATAGTGAAAGTAAGTTAATTATAGTGTTGTTGTATCTCGACCGTCTCTCCGTTAGACTCCTTTTTCTTGGAAGCTATGCCAGATAGGTTAGAAGTATTTTTATTTTAAAAATATAATTATATATATAATAATGTCAGACAATCACACCAATTTTCTGGTCTCAAATTAGGGAATTTCCTGTACTATCAGTATCTAAATAACGATGACTCCGAGGGCAATAACCTGAAAACCTTGACCAAAACCAACTTAAAAATTTTATTTTATAAATTGGCCCAAATTGAGAACCTCCTCATTGAGCGCCCATGGCACTAATGCCACTGGCTGTGCCACCGAACAGTATAAAGGCCCATTTAGATGGAGAGAGTTTATCGTCTCGAAGATACGATTATCGATAGAATGTAAAAAACTTTCCTCGTCTAAACATTTGCGATTATCGACTGTCCACGTGAGCGATAATCGCCTCGCCTTTCAATATTGAACGTCTCCGTGTAAACAGAACTCGAAAGCAAAAATCATATTTCGAGTTTCTGTATCAGCCATTTCTACCACGAGTGAAGTGCGCGAGGGTGTTTTAATTATCACTGCTTTTCTATGACAAGAATTAATGAAACGAGAACGAAAAAAAAAATTTGGATTAAGAAATGTTATAAAATTAAAAAAAAAATGTATAGTTCTCTACAATGCAATGAGGAGATTCAAGCACTCAAAACGAGTCCTACCGATTTGTATGATAATCGTATGAACTTGAAAAAATGTCATACGAGATCGTGTTTAGACAAGTCGAAAACTCGTAAGCAAGAATCTCCTTACTACATATTTCTCTGTGTAAACAGTCGAGGAGGCGATTAAGTTGCTTGCGAATCTCGTATGACATAATCGTAGGCGAGATTTTAGTTCTTGCCTGAGTGTAAACATTGTGTTACGATAATCTTATGGCGATTATTGCTTACGATAATCGCCTACGAGTTTTCGTCACGAAACTCGAGAAACTCTCTCCATCTAAATGGGCCTAAGCGTACCCCGTAATCTGAACCCGACCACTCGGCCGACCGTAAGTGGGGTACAGGGCTCGTATAATTATAACCTTACTGCACTTTCTAAAGAAACAGGAGTAAAATAACAGCATTGCCAATTTTCTTAATAATAATAATTACTGATTATATGTATTTAATTCAAAGTGTAGGTTGATCAAGCATGTAAATTTAACCTTTGTTGCGCGTGGTACTACCAGTTGAACTACTAGTAGTTCTTAGACATGGGGAATAGCGTTACATTTCTATCGCTGTGACTGTCGTTCCGGTTCCGAAAAAATCACGGTGATAAATCACCGTGATTTTGTCACGACTATTACTTCCGTGACCTTGTCACGCCTATAACTTACATCACGATATACGGTTTTAGCCAGCGGCTTCTTTTTAATACTTATAGCCGTTTTTTATAGAATGAATAAGTTTTTACTCCCTTTGTAATAAGTTTTAATTCCATTCAAAAAAGTTGATTTTGTATTTAATGTAATTTTGTTTGTTACTTATTTAATGCGAATCTTTGGGATGTTAAAAATAGCAATAAAGTGTAATGTAATTATACTTCTAGTAGAATACACAAAGAGATTATACATAAATATAAAATACCAACTCTTCCTACAACAAAACAAATATACAAAAATATTTTACTTTGTTAATAAACAGGTTTATAGTAACTGCTGCAGATTTTTTTCATCCGCCCTTTCTAGTAGTAATAAGCACCTACGACCCTTGTGAGTGAGCGAAGAAAGTCATCCTATCTCACTCACTCCAATCGCCGAAATGGCCCAATTTGAAGACAACGAGTGGCGCGCTCAGTCACAATATGTAATACGTATGTCGTGATGTGAGTGACGGGGATAGCTATTGGAATGGAGGAACACCTATGTGACTTTGGAACTTTGTTCCTTCGGAACGAGTCAACGGTGAACGGTTTGACGGTGGATCATCGTGACGTTATTTATCACCCTCCTCTAGTAGTTCCACAGCCAATAATAATCTCTCGTGTTACTACCGACAGGCCTAGTAGTATCAACAGTCAGGGCCATGACAAGCTTGACTCTTAAGATTTAAATGCTCTTGACCCTGTATACAATGGTTGTGTACATTTTATTTTTTATGTGCCAGACAACTACACCAAACTGGTCTCAAATTAGGGAACCCTCTGTACTATAATTACCAGACCACTGGAATTCACTCTGGGGCACTTGCCAGAACACCCAGACAAGAACCAATTTAGAAAAGTTCATTTCCCAAACTGGTCCTACCGGGTATCGAACTCGGGACTGCCGCATCCGGCATCCAGTGTAAACCGTTAGGCCTCCGAGATCGGCAATCGTGCGATCTAAATATTTTATTAAAAGCTATACTTATAGGATTAACTATACTCACCTGGTGTGTAAACCTTCGGGTAAAGAAAGGCGTTAAATATTTCATATCAAATCTCACGAAACCTTTTAATTTTGTTGTATGTGAGTAGTTGACCTGTAAAAAACACCAATCATACATGAATACTTATGAACACTGTCGTAGTATTTATATGACTAAAAACTTATAATTTCTATCCAACACAATACCATACCTCGAGTTCCTCTTCTGTTATTTCTGATAAGTGTTCAGAATCTATTGCTTGACCCCACTCCTTAGTCTTGGATAAACTGATTTCCTTTTGTTTACGTTGTGACCTGGAACGTTTCGTCTTTTTGTTGGCCTGTAAAATAAAAACTTGACTTTGTACTTACACAACTTTATTTCAATTTTATATACTTATTGATAGCGATGAGCGATTGCGAATGATTTCAATAATCTAGCCGTTAGTAATAAAATAATTAATCCTGTCATTCGAATGACAAGTTAGTATTCGTAAGATCGCATTGGGTTCGGTTATCGAACTATCTGAACTCGGTTACCAACTGAGCTCAGTTATCAACTAAAGCTGTCAAAGTTACAAAATAGGCCTGCTTAATGATCATTCATTAATAATTAACCCTTAACTGTAGTCGTGGGTCCAATGGACCTAAGTTCGTTCTTTAAACTCGCGTAGGAATCGCTGTAAGCGACGTAGCTCTTCCTACTCCTCAGTACCTTCCGATGTCACGCCAAAGCGCACACTGTGAGATGGACGTGTTTTGCTCGCTGCTCCAAACGTGAGTAATACCTAGTTTAGATTGGACCCACGACTATAGATACGTAAGTTTTTTGTGTGGCGTATTTTATCCATTTCAGTTTCTAGTCATGGCGAATCGAAAAAGTATCTTAGTAATTCAAGAATACATATTAGAGCAATGGTTGAACACTGATTTAGACAGCGATGAGGAAGAAATCGGCGAAAATTCTATATCTGCGCGCAATGCTATGACTTCAAATTCTGAGTAACAGTTTTCAGATAATGACGAGGATTTTGTCAGAATTAATGATCATGAAATGTCCTGAAATATCTGATAGCGAAAATCTAATGAAAATAAAGTTGAAATGATCTTTATGTAAACCTAACATGATGTGCCTATTTACATGACATATGTAAAAACTGTGTGCTATTCATGTTTTTAATTAGGTTAAATTGCACTAGTGTCACTTTTTTTTACCGGGAGACACTTTTCATTTTATTTTGTTTTTTGTAAAACAATATCTTTTCAAATGTAAGAAAAAGCTTTTGTTTGTAGATTTTGACATTTGTTTAATTTTTTATTGATTGTTTTTAGTTGACCTGGTTTCAGATTAAAAAAATTACGACTGATATAAATAGATATTGATATATATGTTCCTATCGTTAACTTTATACAACACAGCATTTGTTGAAGTTCAAATAATACTTTGAATAAAAAAAATTATATATATACATATATCATACTCTCTATTTTATCACCATTCCAAAATGCATATGTCCACTCACGACTATAGAAGCGTTATTTTTTTCCACGACTATACTTAAGGGTTAATACTACTAATCCATAGGTTCAAGTTTAGAGAAGTTGCATAATAAATTAATAACTTTTAGTCTAAACCTAAACGTTTTAAACCTCGAAAATGGCAAATTTTGAACATTAACCGTAAACTTATTATAGAAGGGTAGTCATTTAAATGAATTTGTGAATGAAAACAACTGCTTTATTCTTATTCCTCGTAGTAATATATGTAATAAATTACATTTTCATAAATGTACTGAGACACTAGTGTAAGAATGTTATTAATTTATTATTCTTTTTAAACTTATCTATCAGACTAAAAAAAAGACGTTCTCTTTTTTTTTGGAATTTTCATAACACACTCTCTTCATAACATACCCTCAAGAACTTCAGCAGAGGCATTGTAGATCCACCAAAGAATAGCGTGGTGAACAACACGATAATGAGAGTTGTTGTTATAATCACGTGTCGCGTTTCGTCCGAAAATTGCAAATGCAAAGACAAGGCGTAAGATATAGCTCCTCTCAGGCCTGAAATTAAACATTACACACTAAGTATTGGCAAAAGGTCGTTTTCAGAGAACCTCTAAAAATGCGTCCCTTTCAATAATTTTCGTATTATTACGAAATACGTATGTATGTATTACATGAATGAACTAAGCGTTATTTATTTAATATGATAGTTTGTTTACTTAGTCTGTGTTACACATAAAGACTACTTTACTACGCCACAGTAATAAATGAAAATTAAAAAGAGGTTGATTTCTCATTCGTTGAAGCCGGTTCCGTCTTCCTAATTTCAAGAAATGAAGAAAAAATGAACACTCATGGAAATTGCAACATTTTTCATCGAGGATAAACTTAAATAGCTTTCACGTCGAATACGTACCGTAACTTTCCAATTTATTATAAACAAATATGTTTTCCTGGGAATACAAAATTTATTCAAATTTTTCTTAGCATCGTAATATTAGTGTTATTTCAATTAAAAACAGCCTAATAACAAATGTTCATACCGCGTCACCTTCCCTTCGCACACGTGAGAAGGGGCTCCTGTCGGATAGGAGTTGTACTACACAGTCAAGTATGCTTGTGACTAAATCGCTCTCGTTCATATAAAGCAATCTATCTAAATATTAGGGGTTAAAGTATGAAATTGCCGTTTTATTGCAATAGGTTCTTTGAATTTTCATAGAATCTTCATGGTTTGAGGTTTTCGAATGAAACTTTTTTCAAATGGTTTCTGTGATTTTTTTTTTTTAATTTGAAACATTTGAATATCGACTTTCAATTGTTTTTGTTATTCAATTTAGACAAGAAAGATGGATACTGCGAAAATTCGAGTGATTTTTGAATACGAGTTCCGACGCGGAACTAACGCGGCAGAAACAGCCCGCAATATCAATGCTGCGTTTGGAGAGGGGTCTACTAATGAACGCACCGTGCGATTTTGGTTTAAACGCTTTCGTGATGGAAATTTCGACTTAAAGAACGAGCCACGAGGAAGACCTACATCACATAGGTGAATAACGACGAATTAAGAGAGATAGTGGAAGCCGATCCTAGTCAAACTACCCAGGAATTAGCGGCATGGTTTAACGTTATCTTACCCACAATATTGACTCACTTGCGTCAAATCAATAAAATAAAAAAATACGAAAAATGGGTGCCTCATGATTTGACTGATCTGCAGAAAGAAACGCGTGTTGAAACTTGTGTTGCCTTGTTGAACCGGTACAGAAATGAAGGAATATTGGATCGAATTGTAACATGTGATGAAAAGTGGATTCTTTATGATAACCGGAAAAGAAAAATGCAATGGCTGACCCCAGGTCAAATGCCACAACAGTGTCCTAAAGCAAAACTTACCAATAAAAAGTTAATGGTAACTGTTTGGTGGTCTCAGCATGGTGTTATTCACTATAGTTTTCTCCGATCTGGTCAAGCAATAACGGCAGATGTCTATTGTGCCGAACTCCGAACCATGTTGACAAAACTAGCAGTAAAACAGCCCCGACTCATGAATCGATCTTCACCATTATTGCTCCACGACAACGCGAGACCTCACACAGCACGAGAAACCATTTTGACCCTTCAGGAACTGCAGTTAGAAACCATTCGTCATCCTCCGTATTCACCAGACCTTGCTCCAACGGACTACCATTTTTTTCGTGATTTGGACAATTATCTACGTGACAAGAAGTTTTCTTCCCAGGAGGCAGTACAAAATGCTTTCACACAGTTTGTGCAGTCTAGATCGTCGGAGTTCTATAGCAAAGGCATTAATAACCTTCCCATTAGATGGCAGCAATGTATAGATAATAATGGCAACTATTTTGATTAAATAAATTTGTTAAAAATTTAAAAAATAAACAATTTAGATTTTCAGTACAAATCGGCAATTTCATACTTTAACCCCTATTATTATGTTTTAGTCTTATAAACTTTATTGTGCATCAATTAAACAAAGGGAACTTCAAAACCTACGCACTTTTATAACGGTTCAGAATATTCTATGACCTTATCAACTAAAAATTTATGCAAACATCATTCTTGTCGCTCTCATCCTTGTCTACTTAAAGTAACAACCTGACTTAAAGTCAGACAGTTACTTTAAGTATAACATTTAGATGGTGACGATAAAGGTGGTGATAGCGACGACGATGATGGTGACTATGATGATGATGATGATGATGGTGATGATGATGATGATTGTGACGATGGTGTGTATGGTAATGATGATGATGATGACATATTGATGTACAATAAAGTTTGCATGACATTAACAAAATACATTACATAAATGGCCTTACACGGATTAGAAGGATTTTATTATAAGAAGTTAAATTACAATATTTGTTACATGTTCAATGTTGTTAAATATTTTGTGAACGATAAAATGTGTGTTATAATAAAAAAATCTCATTACTGTGCCGTCTTTCTCACTTAGAGTTAAGCGAAAATCATTCGTGTTACCGCAATCTTATTCGTGTGACCTAAAATATCATTTTTTTTTCTGTGATTTGATAATTATTGACATTATTTGTACTAATTGTACGTTTAAAACCTTAAAACCAAAAGAATAATGGAGTTTTACTAAAATCACTCAAAAAGTGTCTTTGAAATTCGGAAAGTGAAATTCACCTAAAAACACTTCCCAAATTTTAATCTTAGATAAACATTCTCAATTAATTAATTACACTGTAACACAACTCGCGTATATTTTGCACTTGTACTAAAGCAGTTCAAGGAATTTTACTTTCACTTTTAACTTTGCTCAATGCGGCTTTACAGGGAAATGTTAAAATAAACTTATTTAACTTTTTTAACCAATGGTGTATACATACCACTGAACCACATAATAAACATCATCTTTCTGGTAATCTTATGCTCCCGGAACTTGTTGCAGAGCAGTGCCAATGGGAAGATGTTAGCAGCCCTCCCCAGTAGGCACATCACTATGCTCCAAACCACAAGAGCTGGTTCCACACGATGCCTGAAACTGAAAGATTCAACCACTTTTAATCTTCTATCAAGTCCTCAATTAAAATAAGTGACGAAAATCAGTTTGACATACAATATAAGCGCTTTGTTAGACGAGGCGAAAAATTTCGACCGCGCGGTCACCGCCCAATTACCACGCCTTTATGTACATTAATGGCGAATCTGAATTCTATTTACTAGGCAACAACATTTAAATTCCTCTTAATAATGACGCTCATTTAAGTTAAAACGTAAAAGCGAAATAAGTAGAGCTTATTTTGCCATGACAGAAGCACGCGGTCGCCTGTCGCCGCGCGTTCGCACTCATCCCGCGCGCCCGAAATTCGTGTAGAATAAATGTACCTTATGAGGTAGTGTTGCTTGTGGCTAAAGCCTATTATAAACCACAAAACAGCCAGGTAATACTAATGTGATTGGCACTCGTTTTTCAAAACACAATGAATGAACTTTTGCATAATTCATTAGTATGGCATTATTTGTAGAAATATTGTTTAGCTCATTTATCTACATACTTAGTTTCTCAAAATAATTATACAATGTCAATATATGCCCATTCCTCAGGGGTGTGTTCGTTGTTCCACCTCCACGCGTGCGAAGTCCTTGAGCAGTCTGTGATGACATGTTGTCACAGAAAGCCCAAGGGTGTAGCCGGTACACCCTGGGGCCAACACTGACAACTCTCGGCTTCAGTCTGAGTCTTACCAGTGAGGGCGCGAAGCGATCAACACGGCCCGGCCATGCGTTTATGAGGGTGGACCATGGCAAGTGGTGGGCGGTCTTAATTTACATCCTCCTGCGTTCATGCCTACGCAGTTGAGCGCCGTACGCAGGGATGAAGGAATCCTGGGGGGTAGAGCCCGAGCGGGGTGGGGACCCCGGCAAGCAATACGCCCCCTTTGGCCCTGATTTCCTGCCAAACGGTAGCCCTGTGACTAGCCAACACAGGGAAACGGCAATGTGTCCCGTCAGAGGGCCACAGGCGAGGTGTGGGGGGGGGGGACTCGGCCATGCTGACGGGGTGAGTATGTGCGGAACACCTGGCTGACTTTGATCGGGTCAGCCAGCCGCACATTTCGAGCCCCCGATGTCGCGCAGTGAGCTCCTAACCTCTGCACCTATACTCTCCTGATAATCCTGGTGTCCCGAATGGGACATCCCCAAAGGTGCGGGCTCCGTGGTGGGTGGGAAATCAGGAGAGTGAATTATAAGAACACTGCAATATGGATTCTGCAGATCAACAAAAATCACCAAATCACCCAAAACCGGTGGTACTGGAGGGGAAACCCAAAAGTGCCCCATCAAACACAAACTCGAACGTACAGCAGCGCCCTACGGTGAGTGGTAGGCCAAAGGGGAAACCCCAAGGCCAACCGCGTACCGATGCCGGTGCTGGCCCTACACCAGCGGTAGCGGCCCGAGCCTCGTGCTCTGTGGCCCCCGCTCAGACACCTGGCTCTGCATCGCAGAACCCAACATATACTGCCCTTGAGGCAGGGTGGACTCTGGTGAGTCGCAAGCCCAAAACCACGGCACCCATCCATATGGAAGGGGAAAGTGGCCAAGGCGAGCGACCACCTCCAGCTCCCAGCGGGAGCAGGGGACGCCCTGCCCGAAAGAACAAACGGGGTCGTCTCCGTGAACGTGAACGCCGCGAGATGAAGGGTAATCCGAAAGAGGGAGCGGCGCGGCCCCCAGCGGGTGGCGGGAATGGTGCAGAGACCGCGTTAGTGCGACCCACTGAACCGGACTCGCACGCCCCTGGAAGGGCCCCCCTCCCCCCAAGGAACCAACAAACACAAAAGGCACAGAGGTCCTCGACCTATGCCAAACGTGCCCGTCTTGACGAGACATTTTCTCCAAGAGGCGAGCGCAAAAGGCAAAAAGTCGAGAGGCCCGCCCAGTCAAGAACGTATGCCGAGGCCACCGCACCGGAACTTCTAGCGGTGATCACCTCGGCCAAGACTGGATACATAAGGAGCCCTGAATCAGACATGATACAGAAGGCCCTTTGTGAGCGCCTCTCTCAAGGAGCAGAGGAATGCGGTGAGGAGGACGTCGGCCCACAGTTCCGAGGTAAACCCGTCTATAGCGACGGGTCCCTAAAGCTGTGGTGCCAGGACAATGCCACCTTTCAATGGCTAGAGGACGCAATCAGCACCATCAGGCTGCCCACCGGGGAGCCCCTCTCATTGAAAAATGGGGTGGAGGCTCCCCGGAGGGTGGTCTGTGGACTGCTGATCCCCGGTCATTGGGAGGAAGCGCGCCGTATCGGACACTTGCTCACTTGGCAGAACAAGTGGGCGGAGGTCCACAGATGGGTTGTCCACAGGTTGCAACAGCAACAAGAAAACACTTTTGTGGTGGTAAGCCTACCTGAGGACCTGGTACCTGTTATCGTGGGGCATGGCCGGCGCTTTACTTTTCAGTTAGGCACGGTCTACCTCCGATTCAGGTCCAGAAGAGGAGTGTACACGGATGTGCCGCCTGAAAAGGCAGGTACATCAACCAACAAAACACATGCCTCCCCGGTGCCCTCTACCTCCACTGGCTTCACCAGAGAAGGAAAAGGGCCCTCCCTGACCCCCGTCCCTGTGGACGTCGCCAGCCATACGGTGGCGTCCAATAGTGAGGACGAGTGTGTGTCGGCGATGGGAGACATCTGCCTGAGCGAGGATGAGGACGACATACTGCTATCGGCTGATGGCGGTGTCCCCCTCGCCCAATAATTGTACCGTCATCCAGTGCAACCTCCACCACAGTCAGACCGCAACGGTTCAGCTTCGGAAGTGGTTGGAGGCAAACGACACAGCCGTGGCGCTGATTCAGGAACCGTGGATCGGCGCCCGCGGCCAAATAAATGGACTCTCACATCTGAGAGGTAAGCTACTATCCACTACTATCTCAGATAAACCACGGACATGTATATACTACTCAAACAAGTTACACATACAGCCACTAACACAATTCTGTTCCAGAGACCTGTGTGCCGTAAAGCTTCTAGCTGACGCGGCCACGGGCCTGCCTGAAGTGGTACTCGCCTCTGTCTATATGGCGGAGACTGATGTGCCACCACCACAGGAAATGGTACAGCTAATCAACCACTGCGAGCAGAACGGCCAGCACATTGTCGTGGCCACTGACTCCAATGCCCACCATCCGCTGTGGGGCATGGAACTCGCGAATGAAAGAGGTAAGAACTTAACAGAATACTTATTTACAACTAACCTTCAAATTCTCAATAAAGGTACAACACCAACTTTTGTAAATAAAAGGAGTAGAACCATCATAGACCTAACCCTAGCGTCAGACGGAGCAGCGAATCTTGTCCATGACTGGCACGTGTCCGAAGAAGCATCTCTCTCGGACCACAGATGGATAAGATTCAACTTAGAAACAGTTATCAAAGTACAACAACCGAAACGGAACCCCAGAAAAACCGATCGGAAAATTTACACTGACAAACTACACCAGAGCCTGGAGAAACCGGTAGCACCGGGAAGACTGCTGGACACAGCGCAGATAGAAATACAGGTTAAAGAACTGACGTCAAACATATTGAAGAGTTACAACTCCGCATGCCCATTAAGTGACCCAGCCCCGCGACAAGGCCACCAATGGTGGGGGCCTGAGCTTGAGAGGCTGCGAAGAAGGGTAAGGAGACACTTCAATAGAGCAATGAACACATGCGCGGATGAGGACTGGGAAAATTACAAGACGGCCAAATCCAAATTAAAGAAACGCATACGATTCAGGAGCACCGCGTCATGGCGAGGCTACTGCGGGAACATCACGTCTTGTGCACAAGCGAACAGAGTAAGAAAAATCCTAGCGAACTCAAATGCAAGTGAACTAGGTTCAATACGTAAAACAAACAACACATTCACAACTTCCCCTGAAGAAACGGAAAGAACCCTACTGGAAGCACATTTCCCAGGATGCAGGTTCGTCCGAGATGACAGGCGCGAAGAAATGAACTACAACACATCGACCCGAAACTGGCGATACGCTGAATAAGTAGTAACATACGAAAAAACAAAATGGGCAGTGAACACATTCGAACCATACAAAGCTCCGGGCCAAGATGGAGTTTTTCCCGCACTCCTACAATGGGGTGGGGACACACTGGCCCGGCACCTGGTTGACATCTTTCGGGCCTGTCTAGCCTTCGGCTATGTGCCCCATAGCTGGAGAGACGTAAAAGTCATTTTTATACCAAAACCAGGTAAGAACGACTACACTGATGCAAAATCCTTCAGGCCGATCAGCCTCACATCGTTCTTTTTGAAGACGCTAGAGAGGCTATGTGACAGAGAACTGAGGGACGGAGCTCTAAAGAACATTCCATTACACGGAAACCAACATGCATACTGCCAAGGCAAGTCCACCGAATCGGCCCTACATGCCGTTGTCGGCAAGATAGAAGAGGCCCTTAAAAGCAAGGCAATCTGCCTAGGCACCTTTATAGATATCGAAGGAGCCTTTGATAAAACCAACTTCTCCAGCATACAAGCAGCACTAAGAAGACACGAAGTGGATGAAGTGCTGATCAGCTGGATTAGCAATATGCTCAAACAAAGAACAATAAGAACTACAGCGAAAGAGACCCCATGGGCCGTAGTAGCGAAGGGGTGCCCTCAAGGAGGAGTACTGTCGCCTCTGCTATGGAACATGGTCGTAAATGATCTCATCACCAACCTTAACAAAGAACACTTCTATACAATAGGCTATGCTGATGACATAGCCATACTGATAACAGGCAATTATGCCAGTACACTCTGTGACATCACACAAGCTGCACTCCGGATTGTGGAAAGATGGTGTAGAGCATATGAACTAACAGTTAACCCAACAAAAACAGAACTAGTAATGTTTACAAACAAAAGATTACTGGGTAACTACCTACTACCCAAACTCTTTAGTACAGAAATACAATTATCAACTGATGTCAAGTACCTGGGAGTAATTCTGGACAACAAGTTGAACTGGAACAAACACCTGGACAACAAAATTAAAAAAGCTACTATCACCTTCTGGCAATGCCGTAGAATGGTAGGTAAACAATGGGGACTTTCACCCAAGATAACACTATGGCTTTACACAACGGTGATAAGACCTATGATTAGTTACGGTGCGATAGCCTGGTGGCCACGAACCAAGCTGACGACTGCAACTGACAAGTTGGACAAATTCCAAAGGCTAGCATGCATGGCGACGACCGGCTGCATGAGGACAACTCCAACTGCGGCGCTCGAAGCGATGCTGGACCTGCGACCCCTCCCACTGTTTATCAGACAGGAAGCGGCGTCAACAGCAGTGCGACTAAAGAGAGCCGGCCTTTGGAAGCACATGAGGACCCCACATACAGAAATCCTTTACAAGATAGTCAAAGAGGAACCGCTACTGGAGGCGACTGTGGATAGGATCCCAAAACAATACATTTTTGACAAAAAATACAGGATACAATTGTTTGAAGATCCCAACGAAGGACTAAACCTCAGAGAGGTCCGCGTATTCACTGACGGATCAAAAACAAACTCAGGAACAGGTACTGGGGTGTTCTCAGAAGACCTCAACATCAGAATATCAACACCGCTTGGTGACCACAACACAGTATTCCAGGCTGAATGTATGGGTATCAAGTTGGCAGCAGAAGCAATAATAGCGAGAAGAGTAAAGAATCACTCCATTCGAATACTCTCCGACAGCATGTCAGTACTTCAAGCGCTGAGCAGCTATGACATTAACTCAGGGCTTATATATGAATGCCATCAAGCACTCATGGAGGTATGTACACACAACCACGTAATTCTACAGTGGATTAAAGGACACAGCGGCTCACGTGGCAACGACGCAGCAGACGAACTAGCTAGAAAAGGGTCGGAGACGGATGCTGTAGGGCCAGAAAACAACTATACTCAAAGGTACAAAATCTTCTCATAATAACATATGGACAACCCTTACGGTTTGTAGACAGGCTAGGGAAGCACTCCCAACGCTCAACGCCAGTCTATCTCGTAAATTAATCAAACTTGAAAGACAAGAGCTGCGCACTCTATCTGCCGCTCTAACGGGTCATGGTCCATACAATAAACACCTTTTCAATTTAGGTATCACGGACAGTCCTCTATGCAGAGCGTGCATGGAGGGGGAGGAAACGGCCGCACACATCCTACTAGAGTGCTCCGGTGTGGCCAACTACAGGGCAAAGTACCTTGGAGTGCCGAGGTCGCTCCCCGAAGTCTTCAGAAAACCGAAAAGGCTGCTGAGATTCCTGGAGGAGCTTGGGTGGCACGAGTAGGACCCTGCACCCACCACACGCAAAATAGGCGCCTCGACGTCGAGTTGCGGAAACTAGCCCGTTGCACCAATACCAATACCAATACCAATACCATGCCCATTCCTCAATAGTCTTTATTGCGGAAAGTATGTACACAGCGGTTCTATCATCAAAACTTTTATTTTAAGATAAGATTAAATTCAATGCTTTAGTAAATCATACACAAAAATTTGTTATAACTAAATGAACAAAAACTCTGCAACAAAATTGCTGTGCAAAAAGTCACATTTCTCAATAACATTGTTACAGTACAACACTCAAAAAAAATGCTTGGTGATTACAGTGAACAAGTACATCAAACTTTCAAGTTTGAATTGGGCATTCTGGATTACAAAATTGGATTAGAAGTTTACCTGAATATTGCCAGTCCCAAGTAAGCAAAAACACAGGTCTCTGCTATAAAAGCCAGTGTCCTCATAGTCTGTTGCATGGTCACCTGAGTCACAGTCGACAGGTTAAAATGTGTGTAATGTGACATTACAACCCCACAAAACAAAATTGCCATGATTCCTGAAAGTAAAAATACTTCCCTGTAAATTCATACATATCATAAATTTTGTACTGGACTGATAGCAATAGGTAGACCATAGTTTAATTACAAAAGTTTGTTCAATATTTTGTACTAAGCTTATTAATAACGTAACTGCCTCCGTGGCCGAACGGTTTCCATACCGACCGGACTGCCTCGCAGAGGTCCTGGGTTTGATTCCCGTGTCAAGAGAAATATTTGTATGGCCTACATTTATTTATCTCGTGAGGTTGGGTGTAATTTGTGGTCTGTCTGTGTGTGTCCATGGCACCTGTGATACAGGGTTCCCTAGTGCGGGGCTATGAGTGTGTGCATGTTATTATTTTTATTATAATCACTCTCTCACCTGATAAGTGAATGCCTTCAGCAAGAACGTACGGAGCATAAGTGAATACCAACATCATTCCAAACTCAAGGGAAGGGTTTTTGCGAAGATCAACATGTTTTAGCAGAAGAGCACTCACAAGGGCAAAGACAACTCCTATGCCAGCAGAGGCAAAAAACATCAACCAAAAACGATTTATTGCTGAGAGAATTGCTTCTCCAGTTGTCATAATTGAATCATCAGGTTGCAGCACAGCTGTGGTTAACACAATGGACACAGCATCGTTTAATATGCTCTCACCAAACACTAACATGTTAAGTACTGGGTCTACATCCAAAGCCTGGAATATAGCCACTGTGGCAACCGGATCTACCGCCGATATAAGAGATCCAAATGCAAAAGATTCAACAAAGCTCAACTTATATACCACCTGAGCCAAACCAAGCAGATATATTCCAGCTCCAATAACAAATGCCGATATTCCAGTGCCAACAATGGCAAACAATAATATTGACCCAATGTTTTGAAAGAAGTTTCCCTTATGAAGGTTATATCCAGACTCAAATATAATGGGCGGTAGTAGTACCAAGAAAAAAGCAGTGGGGGAGAATGCTTCTTCTTTTCTCCAATTCGCTATATTCCTTATAGACATGAGATTTATAATCATACCAATGAGGGCCCCAAGGAACACTATAACAATACTTTCAGGCAAGTATGAGAATCCAGTTTGCAGCATCAGATGAATCAAGAGAATTCCTAAAGCTAAAATGCACAGCACAAAGAATATTGCCATGGAGCTGTTGTGCTCATCTTCGGCAGAACTTTTCCCTGGCAACGGTGCTGCATCAGACGGATTTGCTGCCGATACATTCGGCACAGAAGACGCGGACGCGTTGACATGCACCACGGCGAGAATTGACGACTCTGAAGGGCCGATTTCATAAACGTCTTTAGAACTTTCAGTCGAACTTGTTGAAGTAGTACTCGAGTTTGTAGTATTTTGTGTGTTTGCACTAGCTTCACTGGTTGTAGAATTTGGCTCAGCTGATCTCCTTGCTCTTGGTAATTTTTGTAGCACTTTAATATAGTGATCAAGGTAAATACTCGACTGTTCCAATGAAATTTCGTCATGTAAAGGTCCAATGTTTTGAATCATATCAGATGTTTCCCGACTACCGAAACAAAGACTTACACAAAAAACTAAAAGAACACATTTCGAAAACGAAAGAATTATTTGGACTAAACGCCCCATTACGCACTACACAGGGTTTCAATTTTAATATCGTATTTTGATAAATTCCGATACAATTTTCGAGTTCGGTCGACGGCCTTGACTTCAGTACACGTTTGAGTATGAGTGATGGAAAGAAAGCATACAAATTTTCATTCGTCTATACTAAATCTATGCATTTGACACTGTTTGACACACGTCAAACGCACAAATTAAAGATAAAGTTTAAAAAAAAGATACATGTTTTGCTCTTAATAAAATACATTTACACGACCAAAGTAATTGTAGTTGTAACAGAAAATACAAAGAAAAACTATATTGACAAGCAAAATTAAACTTAGGCTGTATGGTACCATTTATCAAAATAAATAAATCTGTCTACTCTGCCGGAACGCATCTGTCGAGCTGCTGTCAACAACCTAGAATATTTTTCGACCAACAAAAATATACCCGCGGCAGCTACGTAAAGTAATCGGAAATCTCTTTCCTTCTCGTTGTGACGACTATCTCACTAGCGCTAGTTGATAAATCACACTCGCATTTTTTTCAATATTTTCAAACATTCGTCTGCGATTTCTTGCTCAGTCGGTGGACTTTTATTTTTGTAGTAGAATTTAGTACAATGGATTCAGCTTTACGTGAACAAGTAATGATAAATCAATTCGTAGTAGCCGCAGGATGTGCACGAGAACAAGCAAAACAGTTGCTCCAAGCCGCCCACTGGCAATTTGAGGTAAATTTCCATTATATGTAAACAAACAGTAATCATGAAATGGCTGCTACATATTTTGTGTTTTGCAATAGCCTTGGCTCACAAAATACGTAGATATACGTAATATGCTCTTGTCTCTTTCTGTCACCGTTTGTTACTGTAACCGCATGTGAGACAAGAATATTTAGCAATTCAAAGCGAATCTTTTAAAACGCATTATTATTTATTTACCTTGTAATGATTACAATTATCCGACACTACTTGATAATGATAGCAACGAAATAACACGCAATATCTACACACTGTGATGTTGTGGCGCTGTGGTAACAACAGTATATGATTTGATAAATAACATATTTGATCAAAATTAGGCAGGATAACTACAGTTTTTGTATGACTCCCTTAGAAGTATGTTCACTCAAGACATTTGATATCGATATTTATTTCCTCCTAACATTGTTAAGGAAAACTTGATGTTTATTTATCACACTGTTCACATAAATGAACCCACATACTTTTCCAACCTTACATCTCAAGAGTTCTTTGTACCCATTAGTAGACTTGAAGTCCAGGGCCTAAACTCCTGACTCTGAAGCTATAGGAGATCAACTTGTAATTTTACTGTTTAATGAAGCCTAAGAAAATAATGGTTAAATTGGATATTTTTTTATGTAATAAACACTTTTTTAGTAATTATAGCTACACTTTGTTTAAGTGTAAAGTATTGCACCTTGGAAGGTTTTCCAAAATAAAAGCTTTTTTGACCTACCTATCTTTTATCTATTGTGTAAATATAAATGTATGCTTCAAATTTAAGGAAAAAATATTTGCTCTTTCTGTCTCTACATATAGGCAATTAATAGTTTAAAAATACCATAACATCTTATGAGAATTAGTTTTCTCTATGTTAGCTTTCTATCACAAAAAAAGAAATCAAAATATACTTTACACTGAGGAAATTTGTCACTTATTTAACAATTTGGTAGCTATATAAAGTTAACATAGAGATTGTATGTTAACTGTCTGTCTTTACACATAAGTATTTATTAGTTCAATAAAAGTCAAAAATTCTTTACACTGATGGGAATTGGTCTCCTCTATGTCTATACTTGGAATGATATAAATGATAGTTATTAATAGATCTATACAATTTTTGTTTTGTGTTTCAAACACAATTGTATGAAGTGTATTTAATGAATCTGTTAACTTTTTCAATTTCTTGTTTAGATATGAAAATTTGCTTCATTACCAGCAACATGGGAAATAATTGTCAACATACTTCTATTTTCAGACTGCACTTTCAATATTCTTTCAAGAAGTGGCCATCCCATCAGGAGCTAATGGCATAGCCGCTCCACACTATCGCCAGGTACAATTGTGTTTCCCAATATTGTACTTGAAAGAAATCTTTTGGTAAAACAATTAAAAACATGACTGACCTAAAATTTGATTTGGTGTACTTTGACTTTATGATGACAAAATAAATTTCAGCAACTAATGACACCATGCAATACGCCGGCGACGCCGCCGAACTTCCCCGACGCCCTTGCGGCGTTCTCACGGTTGTCGACGACGGGGAGCCCTAACAACGCTAGCAGCAGCACCGGTGGAGCGGCCCCACCGGTCTCACCCCTCGCCACACACCCTCCACCACCGCTACCACCGCAAATGCAAATGAATTCATTTTCTGGTGCCCCAAACCCTCAAAGCACTAACTACTCATCGCTTTCCTGCTCAACTGCAGTTAGTATTCCTACTAATATAAACAACACATTACGAAACATACATTAGATACATATTAAATTATTCATATTGATCAACGTCACTTATTTCTAAACTACGTTCTGTCCTTTACATTTTGACACACACTTTTATTGTTAACTATTGTAGATGTACTTGCCTAAGCAGTCGTAACTGGTTCTGATTATTAACTTTGTTTTAGGTGTGCAGTGAACAGATGCCAAGATAAATTGAAGAAATTAGTTTAGTAGCATCTATAATTTATTTTTCTAATGGTGCGCAATGTGAGCTGTGGAATTGTGTATGAAAATGTATATTACTTTACGGAATACCCCATTGCAATGTGTTGATTTTGCTGGACAATATGTTGGGGTGCTGTAGTTGTGTTAAAACATTATAAAATGTTGTATTCTATATAATATGTATACAGTGTTTTCTGAAATTAATGCACATGACACCTCTAAATCGAAATTTCTTGCTGGCATATATTCTAAATATTTTGTCAGTTCATACTGTGATTCTATTCAGTGCGACGAGTTTTGATAATCAGATGAAAACTACAGAAAATTATTCTGAAATCAGTGTTACGTGTAACATAGTGTTATCTTGTGTGTTTCAATTAAAACATTTTGTCTATCAAATACTTATAATGCAGAACAAAAACTTGATACTGTATCAGTGTGTTGTGCAGTTACTACTAATCTCGTTTTTAAAAAGACAGTACATTTAATTTGAGCAAACCAAAAAATATGCATAACTGTATCTATTACATTATGTACTATTAATTTCTAAAGCAACAAAATGTATTGTTGTTATGAAGACATTAGGCAGTTGTATTGAATAGGCTTAAACCTGGTGTCAATGTATAACTATCTCTCTAAGACCTTATTGCACAAACAATTTGGATTGTTACAAAAAGTTTAATTGTAAAATATTGATGTATGTTCGTAGGTACAACTTACTAGAGGATTAAAGTGTAATAATCACTATGCAAATTTGTGCATAAGTTATGCAATTATAAGCTAATATTAGATTTGCCAATGAATGTCTATTGATCATTTTGTTAATGACTATCATAACAAGATTTATGAAATTATGCTTGTAATTTATTTTTAAGGAAGGAGTTACAAATGTTGTGCTCAACTTAGTTAAATGTGACATTGAATAATGCAAAGTTCTATCCTTTTTTTCGATAATGCCTCAGACTTTAAACTAATTATTAGCTAGCTATCCATGATTGTTAAAATGTATATAAAATAAAGAAATACCTGTCACTTCATAATTATCTTGTTTCTGAAGTTAAGCTTTCATTACTTTGCATTAACTAAATAATGAAATAAATTTGTACAGCATCAATAAAAATGATAAGTCGTATGATACTGGTTTTATTATTACTAATAACTAAGTACTACATATAATGTAAAGTAATAATACATGGAAAATCATTCAAATTCTAATTCATGTTTAGACTTCTGAAGTTTCTTTTGTAGTAATTCTCCTATAGAAATCTCGGATATTTTTTGAATTGTTGCACTTGAGATATCTCCAATAGATCCAATTTCACTTTCTTCACTTTGCTTGGGACTGATTCTACTTTTGAGCACAATCTAAAATTCTAAATAAAATCATTTGCAGGTACTAATTCTCAAACGCAAACCGTACGATACAATGTTAACGTAACTATTTAAATTAAGGATTGTAAAGAAAATAGTAATTATTCCTCACTTTGTGTAGCCTGGGTCTTTCGTAAATATAAATACATAGTAATAACGCGACGAGTGAGGTAACTGTGAAAAGTAAGTAACTACAGGAGTATTTATATGCGTCCAATAATATTCCACACCAATAGGTTACTATAATGCTTAGCATTTTCAACGTGACCAATTTACAAGTGTAAGAAACGAAACAATAGTAACGCTTACTATGCGTACAGTGTATAAACTACACACTTATTTGCTCCCCAAGTTTGACCAAACAATATTTACGATTCTATGTAAATAAATTAAATAGATTCACCCCATATCACTGATTAATAATGTTATAGGAAGTGTCACAATGACATTCATAGTATGCTCTTTGGACTTAGAGGGTGGAAAAAAATAATCTTTTATATATAATATTTAGTGGAAAATTAAGAGACAAAACATGATAAGTTGTTTGATTTCTTAATATAGTGTCAAAATGATTGACAAGTTACCAAGGAACCCTGATGCACTCAAAATTCTGCTTCTTGCCGGTGGACCACTTGACTGGTTCACCCATTTCATAAGAAAATGTAAAATGCATTATATGGAAACCATTGGCTTTTAATATTTAAAAAGAGACTGAAAAGTGGAGTATACTTTTATCTATTATAGATATATAAACATATTCCCCAGTTTTGTCACTAAATACTGAAGTACAACAAATTAACAAGTGTTATAGTACTAACAACTAGTATTATTTTTATTGTGTAAAATAAATGTAAGACTATTAAAAAAAAAGAAATTTAATATTAAGATCGACATTTATTTAAAACAGTAATTGTTCCTATCTAAATTCTAAACACATGTAAAAAGACCTGACAAACAATAAGACAACCTCATTGTGTAGCTACTGCATGTAATTCTATTGTAATACTAACATTTATCCACTGTATAGATGTCGGTTACATTATTATTACAAAATATTCACATCTTTTGTATCGCCCTGCGTGTCCCTACACCTGCACACGCGAGGACCTGTACAACGTCACTGATAATGCTGTCTGAGTTGCTAAGTACTGGTCCTCATAAATATAACGTCAAAGTCAACACGCCACAAAGAAGATTACAAAACAAAAATACATTATAACAATTACATACAGAAAGTCTGAAACACCTTCAAACGTGGTTGATAAACAGTTTTGCTTAGAATATAGGTAGACAGACACCATGCTCACGCAGTCATTGATTGATTAAAACATACCAATTTACTAAAATATAGAGTAAATTTTATCATATTTATTAATAGGTACAGCCATTGGACCACATTTGTTTAATTAGACAATAAGCTAAATGTACATCATTTCAGCCATAGATGACATCTTCTTAGGTATGTGGACCAATGTTTCAAAATAACTTGCTAACTCATCAATTGTAACATCACAGGGAGGATTGAGAGCTTCTTGAGAGCATGACCCAGCTTGGCTCTTTGTGGGAACAGTAGCTTTTGTTTGCTTTGTTTTTTTTCTAGTGCTCTTCCACCACTGACTCTCATTACTTAGATCTGTGACTAAATTTTGTTCATTTGAGCCTGTTGATATCCTTAATTGGTTACAATTATCAACAAGGGCACACAGATTTATACTATCAGAGTTATTATTTCCTATTAATGAAGATGAACACTTTCTCCTTAAAAACTGGCAACAATCATCTTTTACGTTTAGACTTTGACTTGAATCTTGAAGCATTTTTAAAACTGGTTCTTTAAGAATTTTTTTCGGTTTCTTCTTACATATAGACATGGTTTTGATGTTTTTCTGAGTGATACAATTACATTTAGAGATTGGTATACAGATCCTCTCATATATGTTTCTTTTTTGTGGAACTGAAGAACACAAAAATGGATTTTCATCTTGAACATTTTTGTTCAATTTTAAAGGTTCTATCTCCAGTTTTCCCATCTCTACTCCCAGTGATATATCATCCTTTGCCATCGTAAAGGAACCTATAAAATAACAAGGAACACACATTGATGAAAATAGAAATGATTCGCAACATCACAAATAAGTAAAATACCGCAAAAGACAAAGAGTATGAAATCTAAATAAATATTGTGAAAGGGGGTCAGTGGCATTAATGAAATGTGAATTTAACAATACACACACGTATAGAAGCTGCTCTTTACAATGTTGAAAGTATTGTTTTATTTTACAATGATCAAAATAAGCAAATCATGAGATATTTTATGTAATGATTCAACTGTAATATTCCAATAAAACCTATGACCAACCATAACAACATTAAGTCAAATATCTCATATATGTTAAGCCCTCTTTTTACACTCACCATTCTTTAATCGATTATTTAAAGTTCCACAACGCTACTGAGCGTAAAAATAAACAAAATGCAAAAGATCAGGACCACGATTTTTATTTAATAAATGATAAAAATGATGCGTCATAACAAAAGCCATAGACTGCATTTTTTTTTAATTAAAACATTGCGGGCTTTAGATTCTAAATAATTGTCTTTTCTATTTATTTGGTTTTTCTTTTTACCAAACTGCCTCGTAGCTCATGTGATAAACATCAACGCCTTGTGCACAAACCAATAAGAGATACCACATAGCTTTGTGCTTGTGCCTCAAACAACACAATGAACTTCCTCACTTCCTCTCTGGGAAAGTTCTTGGTCCGGCACAGAGTATCAATAACTTGAGCTAACTCAACCTAACCATAACGCACGGCACATAATTATAAACTTACGAAATGTCAAGAGGAAGCGCGGGAACCTTTGAATGTGAAAGGCGGCAATTTTGGTTTTATTTTTCATTTATTCAAATATGGCGTATTTTTCTTTTCCTGGATAGTTCATATTTTAAATTAAAGACTTTACACGGCTCTTAACTTAGATTTAGTCTGTCTCTCTTACGAAATCTATGGCTCTTACTGAAGTACTGAAGACTTGGCGCCCGTTACACGGGGAAAAAATTTCGCGCGACCGCCTCGCGGCGACCGTTCGGTTACCACGCCTTCATGTACATTACTTGGTACTTGCCTAATCTGAATTCTATTTACTAGGAAACAACATTTAAATTCCTCTAAAGAAATGTACCGCGGTGCCGCCGCCGCCGTGCGGCCCGCCACGGACTCCGATCGATGACCACGCCACGCGTCGTCGCGCGGGCCGCCGCATAGGCCAAATCAAGCCATACTCGCCCGCGTGGCCGGAACGCTCATTTACGTAAAAGCTAAACAAATAGAGCGTATTTTGCCATTACAGTTAGACGCACACGGTCGCGGTGGCTACGTGGTGAGCGCGAAGAAATTCGTATCGAATAAATGTGCCCTAGAGCATATCACGAGGACACATTAACTCCAATGACTAGTGTCGCATCGCCACAAAACGATACTGCTTCGGACACGTCAACGGAAAATGATGATTATTTTAATGTTCTGCATTACTTACCCCAATAAAAAAGATTACATAATAAAGTAATGTTATTTTATTTACATACCTGAGAGTCACAGCCAAACGTTCCGCAGGTGTGATGGATCTTCGCATATTTGTATCCTGTTTCTTAATACGTTGGCTTATAATTGATGGAAGTTCATCAAATGAGTTCACAGGCATTCTATAGTAAGAGAAAAACTTATGACGGTTATCACGGTGTGCACTAAACATTGAATGAAATATTCCCGAAGTTAAACGGTTACTTAACACTGGTTCCACCCAAACATTGCGGTTTACTTTATTTTTTAATAATTCTAATAATATAAGAGCTGCAAGCGCAGTTATCATTGGCGGATCCATGTTGAAATGAACACAAAACACAGCGGTAAACCGCGTCCCGTGTAGTTTGCTGGTTTGCGGGAGCTTTGTCGAGCGGATTCCCGCGGCGGGAGAACCGCCCGTGTAGTATGGCCCTTAGAGTCGTATTCCAGAACTCTACTCAATGCTCAAGTCAGAACTTGAGTATGATTTCAAACACTGGAAATAGGACCCTAATGGCATGGGCTTGAGCATGATTTCTAGTGCTTTAAATCATACTTAAGTCCTGGCTTGAGCATTGAGTAGAGTTCTTTAATGCGAACCTTAATCTGAAGGGTCTTACACCGAAAACTTAAATCGCAACATATTTATTGAAGAAAAAGTGAAACTAATGACTAGGCAGTATGGTCTCTAATCTTCGCCTGTTCCATGCGGAGCGAACGAAAAATAAAAATTTTGCAAATGTCAAATATGTCAATTGAATTGTCAAAATTAAATGGCAAAGGTTTCATGAGTTTTGCTTTTGCTATAGTACGTGCATTATTGCTACATTACCTAGTACATAATTTAAACGCAGCAATTGCTTTTCCGTTCCTAGCGGGTAAAATACTTAATTATAATTTTAGATTGTAATTTTTATTTCATGTACTTTTTTAACCGAAATCTTGATTTGCAGACAGTTCTACGTTGTCTGGACTTGTCCGGCGTCGGTGTTAACTACCGAGTTAAGACTTGTATTGATTTTCACGTAATTTGATAATGGAACCAAATCCTGTAATTATTGCCGCTACGGCAAAACACACAGCCTCTGTGAGTTGTATTCTAAAGCCTGTTTTAGTTATGTCTCAACTATCGTAAACAATTTAATGGTATAATAAAATCAATATTACCTACCTAAATCAATAGTACCTGGTAATTAGTCTTCTTTTGTATTTCAGCTTATATTTTTGCATGGTCTTGGTGATACAGGGTTAGTATATTTGTTATATTTTATACAGATTGATTATATAGTCTCTGAATAAATTTAAATTAATTTCTATCAATAATATTACCACCCCCTTTCAGCCATGGCTGGGCCAGAACGATCGCCGATATCAGGGGCCCACATGTCAAGGTTATCTGTCCTACGGCATCAACAATGCCAGTGACCCTAAATGCTGGATTTCGTATGCCATCATGGTTTGACTTAAGGACTCTTGATGCTACAGCACCTGAAGATGAAGAGGGCATTGAAAGAGCTACAGCCCTTATGCATGAGCTCATTACAAATGAGATTAAAGTAAGTCTGCTCTAATTTTGATAGTAATTATTTTTTGTTTTTTAAATAAAATATAAGTGCGCATTTGACCTCCATCTCACCTGATGGAAAGTGACAATGAGGTCGACGATGGAGCATGCACACCTAAATAAGTAACAAGTTATAACATTCAGGGAACAAGTCTGCAGGCAGGGAATTCCACCCCATAGCCATATAAAATCCTTTATTTGGCTACAATATCAAAGGTGTGTTATTGGTACCAGTAAATTATTATACATTTCCATATATTATGTGTTATCTTGTTTTTTTAGTCAGGTATTCGCCCAGACCGAGTGCTTGTTGGTGGATTTTCCCAAGGAGGAGCTCTAGCACTTCACTCAGCTTTAACTTACCCATCTCCACTGGCTGGTGTTATAGCCCTGTCTTGCTGGCTACCCAGACATGCCCACTTTCCTGAAGAAGTGAAGGCGCCTCTTGATTTGCCGGTATGTATATTATGTGACTATTTAACATATAACATACTCCTCATCAGACAGGTTCGAAGTTCAAACTAATATCTACTTCAACCAGATGCAATCTAAAGTTTAGAGGCCTTTCCAATCTAGTTTTTTTATTTTTGAGTGCGGATTTGAACCTGAAGAGAGGCTATGTTAACAAGTATATTTACATAAACTCAGATAGTCAAGCCACTCTACTGCTCCCTACATGCACTAACCTCTGTCACCCAAACATCGAAGATTGTAGAGAACTGTGTGACTATGTGTACACTCTGACGTCGAGGGAAATGAAGCAGCAGACGAACTGGCAAAGGCTGGTGCTAGGGAAACCTTTATTATTTTATTAACCCCAAACTCGTTATAGGGATAGCATAAAGCCTGGCAAAGCTCACTCTACTGAACAAGAGCACACACGTCTCCCGAGAAGTGTGGCTACAGAGTAAGGGTCTTGAGCATTCAAAAGCCCTAATAGCAGCCTACAGTGCCAAACACTGTAGAGAAGCTCTGTCATTAGACAGGTATGGCATCAGAATGCTCACTAGAGTCTTAACAAGACATTGTGGCTTGAACAAGCACATGTCAAATATTGGGCAGAAAGAGAATAGAGAGTGTAGATTCTGCCACGAGGCGGATGAAACTCCTGCATCTTCTCACCCAATGTTACCCCCTGATGGGCGTACAAAGCTCCATACTGGGAAGGCACATGCCACAACCAGAGGACATTAAATCTGTCAGAGCCAGGACAGTCCTTCAGTTCTTCAATGCTGTCGGCCTTGGCTCCGAACTGCAATTAGTGGTGATCACAATAGATCAAGTGATGGTCGCAGTGATGAGGGGCTACATATGCCCCAAATGAAGCCACCCAAATAATAATAATAATCTTTTTGATTGACTCATCATAATAATGTTAAGACATTAACTAAAATTACGAGTAAAATGTCATTGTAAAACCTTTCACTATAATAAAAATAATGAAATGAAATGACAATTTATTTGATTAAAATATGGGATAGAGCTCATATTTTACCACATATGGCATGCAAAATTATACTTATAGTGATTGAATTAATTGATTAGATTACAAATAATGTCAGTAGACATGCACAAAACATCCTTAAAGTTCTAATTTTGTTTCAATACATAGTCAATTAAATTAATAACAAAAATTGTGAAAGTCAAACAATTACATAATATTATAATATCAGTAGTAATTTATATGTCAATGTTTGGTTAAGAAATTGGTCACTGTGTAATAATTTTGTCTTTAAGCCATGCATTCAATCTGTTCTTAAACAAACTATTTGGTAATATTTTAATGTCGTTTGGTACAGCATTATATATTTGGACACACATACCATTGCATTGATTTTTATTGTAGGACAGTCTACATACATTATTATAAACTAGTCTCTTTGGATCCCTTTTACGTCTACCATGGATATCTCTTCTTTTTTTAAAGATGTCTAGTTTGTTTAACAAACCAGGCGACTTCAAGAATATACATACACTGTATGGGTAATATTCCCAAGTCTTTAAACAAGGGCGCACACGATTGAGTTGGTGAAATACTGGTCATTGCTCGGACACATTTTTTTTGAGCTATGAACAATTTTTCACAAACAGTTGAGTTACTCCAAACCAAAAGTCTATATCTAATCAGAGTTGCAACATAACCATGTTAGGCAGCCAAAACTGTGTGTGGTGATGACACATTTTGCAACCTCCTCAAAATGTATATGTAGCTATGTGAAAATGAATCCAAAACTGACTTAACAGATGGATTTGTCTTTTACTTGTATCTATAATAATTTCTTCTAGCTAACCCCAACAAAATACAATTTACGTGTTGAATAAAAAATATTTAGTCTTTAATAAGAAGTAACAATTACTGATAATAACAATTCTTCAATTACAGAAGTATTACAGTCAGGTCAATTTTAAATAAAAATTTGACCATCCTGTAAATTCCTGTAGATAAAGTTCGATAACACGATCGTTAATACATGTAAAGAATAAAAATATTATATAATATGAAGAATTAAAAGAATTAAAGCTTCTACTGAAACAGTTTACTCAACTTACATATTATTATATAATATGAAGTTGCATAAACTGTTTGAAGCCGTGGTAGCCTAATGGTTAGACCTACTGCCTCTCAAGCAGAAGGTCGTGGGTTCGAATCCGGGCTCGCACCTCGGAATTTATGTGCGAAATTTAATTTGAAATTTATCATGAGCTTTTCAGTAAAGGAAAACATCGTGATGAAACCTGCACGTCGAAGAAGGGACCCGGATTGGTCCAGCGTGGCGGAATATGACCTAAACCCTCGTCTGAAAGGAGACCCCTGCCCAGCAGTGGGACATATAAATAGGTTGATGATCATGACATATTATTATATAATGCTATGTGCAGGTTCCACAAAAAGAGCATTGTCATTTTGCATTGCAAATAGACGATAATTGTAATTAAATTTACATAACAGTAGCAGGAAGGGCAGGTCAGTTTAAAAGGACATTAACATTGAATTTCTAATAACAATAAGAACTTATTTTGAACTCTTGCCAAGGAACTAATTTAGTACTTTTAAAGAAAAAATATGCATAATGTTAACCATATTATATACATGAAGTTCGTTTTAAACCAGGTTGGGCACATGGGCGAATAAATTAAATTGAATGTAGATAGTAGAACGAAAGAAATATGTGTATAGAGCTGACATGGAATGCTCCAGGCTAGTAAGAGGACAGACACAAAGCACATTTTCAGATCAAATCGAGAATGTTCATAAAAAGGCTATAGTAAGTAGTGAGAAGACTAAGGGCTGTATTCCAGAACTCTACTCAATGCCCAAGTCCTGACTTGAGCATTGAGTAGAGTTCTGGAATACGACCCTAAGAGGGGTTGTATGGAAAGATTAATAAAAATAAGGGAAGCAATAAAGATTTGTCAGGATCATGCTAAGCTGATCATGTGTATCCACTACCCCAATGGGAAAGCGAGAGCGTGAGTATATGTATATATGTATGTTAATCATAAACTATAAACCTTGTTACTCCAAAGCAAACAAAACAACAGATTACGTAACATTAAAAAACTAACGAACCGGCAAAATTTCGATTCACGACTAGTTATGCAGAGTTTTTAAGTACCTATTAATTTGTTTTAAGTGTAACTTTTACTATCAAACTGCCAGCTAGGAAGGTGCGTTGTAGTCCCCCCAAAATATTAAAATGATAATTTTGCCATCGTAACGAAAAAAGGCACAACTATGCGTACTTTATACAGCAGTTGTGCCTTTTTTCGTTCCGAGGGCAGAATTTGCATAATGACAAATGAAAATAAAATTACCAATACGCAAAAAGACCGCTACTCAAAATGACAGAAAAAAAAAAACACCAAATCTCATTCTCAAAAATACACCCTTACATTATAATAAATCCTCGCCCCATCGAGTATATAACCAGAAATATAGACGAAATGTAATTTAATTTGTTTGAAAACTATTCTACCATATCGTTGCTGCGCGTGCAATACAGCTGAAGAGCACTTTGTAAATATCACGTAACAGCGTTTTCACTATTTTACAGGAGGAAAAGAAACTTAATATCTTAGCTATTGAACTATATTTTACCGACTGCACTCTGTAGCTACTTCTTTGCGATTCACTTTGTAGAAAAATAACGTAAGTTTACCCATAAGTTGTTTAGATTCCGGATAAAGTCACTAACGCGGTTTTGTAGTAACAAATAACAGAAAAAGTAGTATACTGTTAGTTGAAGAAATGAAACATTTATTTAAAGGTTTGATTTTATTATGACTAATAAGCAAAAGTGACAGAAAGTAAATAGGCTTTTGCCATTCTCTGGGACAATACAGGGTCATAATAATAATAAATTAACAAAAAATGTACTAAAACAAACATCTTCTTAGACCAAAAAAGTATTATCAAATAAACAATAAATTGTTACTGTTCGTAGTCAAATTATATAGAAATCTTTTTACAAGTAAGTCAAAAAGAAGGTAAGTTCTCGGGATTAAAATGTTATTAAATTTTGTAATTTGAAAATTATTACAATTAACTTTTTAATTAACAATAACAAAAAAAAACAAATTATTTTAATTAACAATAACAAAAAAAAACAGTCTCATAAGTTCTCTGAAAATCACAGCAGCTTAATCTTGTTAAATGTCTTGCACAAATATAATAAAAGGTAGTGTCTTGCTCAGTAGCCACGCCACCCTATTTTTTTATTATGATATTACCCACTATAATCTTAGAGGATGGAAAAAAAAAAATTCCATAGTCTAAGGGTCGTATTCCAGAACTCTACTCAATGCTCAAGTCAGGCCTTGAGTATGATTTCTAGTGCTTTAAATCATACTCAAGTCAGGATTGCACTGGAAACACAAGCACTGGAAAGACGACCGTAATGGCAGGGACTTGAGTATGATTTCGAGCGCTTTAAATCATACTCAAATCCTGACTTGAGTACTGAGTAGAGTTGTAGAATACGACCCCTAGACTATAATACACAGCGGACTTACATGACTTTGCGTCATACCCCTGGCAGGCGTGCTTTATTTCAGGAGACTCGTCGAGCTGTGCTGATGCTGTAGTCGAGGAGGTTGCGTTTGGGTATGGAGTGTTACATATCATACTCTGATGTACCTAGTGGACCCTAAGCTCGTCCAAGGTTTTACGCTGATTGTAGTTGTGCTGAAACACGTAAACAGTCCGCGTACCATGCTTGGGCAGATGCTCGACTACGCGAAGCTCCGAGTACTCAGAATTTGACGAAAGCTTTTAATAAGGCCGCCAGGAAGTGCAAAAGTGTGTTACGTAGGGCTAAGTTCGACCATGTGCGCCGCATAGGGGCTAAGCTTGCCTCTTATCCAGCAGGCAGTAAATCCTTTTGGTCGCTGGCCAAAGCGGTCAAACCTAACTTGACGCTCATCTTTGCCACCTCTTCTGCTAAGGCCGGATGGCTCGCTGGCTCATACTGCGGAAGAGAAGGCGAATCTTATTGCCTCACTCTTTGCAGAGAGTTCGCGTTTGGATGCCGCAGGGAACCTACCACCTACTTTACCTTAGGCTGGCTGCACTATGTGGCCAGTTCGCATACATCAAAAAGAGGTACTTAGAACTCTGCGAAATCTAAACATAAATAAAGCTAGCGGGCCAGATGGAATTCTAGCAATAGTCCTGCGTAACTGTGCGCCTGAGTTGTCTCCTATTCTCACACGCCAGTACCGCCTCTCACTTGACTGGTGTAGTTCCCAGGTCGTGGAAGCTTGTAAACGTGCAACCTGTGCCGAAGAAAGGTAAGCAGAGCTGACCCTGTCAACTATAGACCTATCTCAATCACTTCCATACTCTGCAAGACTATGGAACGTGTACTCAACAACCGTCTCCTGTCGTACCTTGAAGACAACGACCTCCTTAGTGATCGCCAGTACGGATTCCCACGAGGGCGATCTACTGGGGATTTTCTTGTGTATGCCTGTCACATATGGAGCGAGGCTATAGAAAAGCAAGGCACTTGCAGTGTCTTTAGACATTTCTAAAACCTTTGACAGGGTCTGACACGCAAGCCTTTTAAGTAAGCTTCCCTCTTATGGGCTTCCCACTGACCTTTGTAATTGAACCTCGGATTTCTTGAGTGAACGTTCGATTCGATGGTCTTAGAAGGCTACTCTTCCGAACATACGGCGATAGATAGAGAGTTGCGTACCTCAGGGTTGCGTACTGTCTGCAACTCTCTTTCTGCTGCATATATTAAAAACAATTATTTTGGTTTCGTACCAATTCCTAGAAAACTAATATGTAACCGAGTGTATGCCTCATGATTTGTAATACATTGCGGCTTATACTTGATGCGATATATTTGTGATCCTTTGTTAATACGCCATGAATATCGAACGAACGCACTTATGTATAATGCATTCAGTTTAGTGGTACGGCCGCTTACACATTTTTTGGCCAAATTTAACATTGTGATGTACACGTTAGGCAACACTTTGCTCGATTCTGATCGATTTTGAAAACCAAGGGACGAAAATTATTATGACCTTAGCAATATTATAAAAATATTCTATAACTCTTTTGTTATAACGTTTAGTAACGTTTCGTTTTTTTTTTCAGTTTTGTAGTATCTATTATCAGTAGTATCTGCAATTTCGATAATTTTTGACGCACGTTGCCTCGAATGTCCGAATATAGTGAGCAAATAATTACATACGTCGCCGGATATGTAGTTCGAGTAATACAAAAAAATATACCTATAATGCAAAGAATTAACAGTGCGTTGTCATTACAAAAATCTGGAGTTGGTCATACGTATGAGTTCATTGCTTTCGAGGACGAAGGTGGTTCAGTTTATCCCACCTAAGATGCTATCCACAAAATATACAGAGTAGCAGAGTTAAAAATCCGAGAAATAATAAACAAATCACAAAAATTTCACGTTAGGCCGTCATTAAGTAAACCACTTCTGATTAATAAGATTTTACCATATTTTGTCAGTAGTAACATTTTCATTTGTCTTGCCATTCATCAATTTGATCAATTACCAACAGAAAACCATCTAGTAAAATTAATTAAGGCAGTCGCAGTTCATATATTGACGTACATTTTCATTAAGTTAATCGATAAGATCTTCTATTACAAAAAGATGCTATATAATAAGCTCATTTTATTGGAAGGACAATAATTTTAATGTTTGAAGTCCATTAAAAATTAAAGTTTTAATTTTTTTTAAGTAATCAACATTTTTTAGAAACAAGTAAAATAAAGGACTTAACTATCTTATTCTAGTGTTTTTGTAATATATTAATATTACGACTACTTGTAATCAACAAATACTTGAACAAAAATTATTCTATTTAGAATCGATTAATTGAATGGAATACGCGTGTTTACGCGTATACCGTTCAATCAATCTATTTAGATTTAGAGCGAGAGGGAGGAGGTTTCCATCATTAAATAGTTCTTGTGACGTCTTGGTTTTCATTGAAATTGCTGTACGTGCGGAGTCTATCCCGATATATGTCTGTGATTAATAACCGAACATATAAAAAAACTTTTTCGACACGGGTCATGTTATCGCAATTCTCCTGTGTTTTTGTCTTGTTTTTGTTAAAGATCTTTGTACTACCTAAATACTTAAAAATACTTTTCGACATTCTGCGCTGTTAGTGACATCTAGCGAGAGATTTTAGAACTTTCTTCACAGCAGCCGGTACACTTTATAGGTGCTTCAACTGCGGTGCAGTGTGGTTATAATATAGCAGCAATACTACGGTGAAGTATGGTCGTGTGTTCAAGTCCCATCGGATCGAAAAAGTTTTTCTATGTGTTCAATCTTTGTATTAATAATCGTATACTTTCCACTGCCGATTGCGTTCGTTGGTTGTATCCACTTTTTTGACGTCGGTAATGTGTCGATTCGTAAACGAGTTTAATAAAAAGCAATGAATAACACTAAAATTTAGAGGCCTTTAAATTTTATTTCAAAATACCTTGTCATCTGAATGTTATTAGACTAAAAAGACTTAATTAAACTGTTAGGGCGCCTTCAAATTAGACGCTTGAGGAAACACCAGTCTGAAGCGAGACCAACTTTAATTACGTTTCATCTCTGGACTTGGTTACGCGATGCATTCTGACTAAGAAACTTTTTTTTTTGTTAAAACGGTGGAAGAAATACCAGGACGCTTTAGAATCCATTCGTTACCCCTATTATGTCTAAAATAATCTAAATTAACATTCGTTCGACAATATGATGATAAAAAATTATACATAAATATTACCACGTCTTTTTTTCCCAGTGGATTTGGAATAATTTGGCATATTATACTGCTAACCCATACTGCAGGGTGTTAGATTATAATTTATTATTATTCTGAAGTTTGATATTCATTGACAATGAAAATTTGGAGTGTACCCACAGGCGCGCCTCGCACTGCAATGGCTCTACAAGCGTCTAAATTGAACGTTTCGTGAAGTGGCCCGACTTTAAGCCTTAACATATTAAGGCACGTTTCCAATCCCTGTATTAATTATCTAGCTAGACCATAATACATTAAGTTACGACTACTTAAGGTCGCTATGACATACTCTGTATGTATTTTTTCACCACAGATATTTCAAGCCCACGGCGACTGCGATCCCGTAGTCCAGTTCAAATGGGGCCAGATGACAGCATCGTTTTTGAAGACTTTTATGAAGAATATTGAATTCAACACATACCAGGGCCTTTCACATAGCTCTTCTGAGGCAGAACTTAAGGATATGAGAGCGTTTATAGAAAGGACTTTGCCTCCTTTAAAATAAAATACCATGAGATAATTAAATAGTAAAAGGTTTAACGTACCTATAGACTTCCATGTTTTTATTTAAAGCTGCAGGCATCATTTACTATATAAATAAAGAATCCAAAATAAATGGTTTATAATAGCTATGTATTACATAATCATCAATGTATGTACTACACGTAGGCAACAGTAAACATTACTCATGTTTTCCTTTGACTACAAAAGCATTTGTACATACATTATGTTTTTATTTCTCTAAGATTAGTAGTTACGTATTAAAACTTCATCAAAACCTTTTATTCTTTTATTATATTTCACAGTCGCGTAATGCCACATTTTTGTCCCTTCGTAATATACTGTGATTTTTTTAAATGGGACTGTACCGTAGACCGGGGTTACTTTGATTCTCGGGATAACTTAGATCAAAACTTCCTTTTCACATAAAAATGCAAATTGCGTAAAAAGCAACTACTTTTGGGAGAATTTTTTCGGGTAGCAATATTGATAAACAGTCAAATTCATTTCTGTGGGGGCGCTGGAGATTTCCCTGTATTTTATGTATGTACAAAAAAAGTAAGTTTTCCGTTACAACCTATTTTTTAATTAAAAAAAATGTGTTGCAAAACTTCATATGCAGCTTAGTGTGTTAGTATCATGAATTTTTTGGATAGAACTCAATGAGTATCGTACATTTGCGAATTCATAACAAAATTTTTTGTTGTTCTAACCTTAAAGCTTTCGTTATTCAAATTCAAATTCAAACCATTTATTTCAGACATTTTATATCCATATTTGTTAGTAAAAACATAGCACAACACTTACACACTAGTGTTAGTAAATACAAAACAAAAACAAAAAACATATGTACAATAATTTATACAATATTTATAAGTATCACCATTACCTGTATTATATATACATAATGATGCTACCCACAAATACTGGCTTGGCTTCGGGAATACATGGAGCTTGGTCCAATGTTCAAAGAATGAACCCTGGACCCTACCAGCAATGACCTCGAGGATGCTGTTACGGCTGTCCCGAACCCTACGCATCAGAGAGGCCACTCTTTTTCTCATGATGCACGCGAACCCATCAACGCAGGCATCCGCGAACATTCCTGAGGCGCTGCAGAATCGCGGCAGCCGCAACAGCATCCTGAATATGTTATTATATACAACTCTTAACGTACTAAGGGCTTTTTGGGTGTAGTTGACCCATAGCACGGTGATTCACGCTCCATACTAAGGCGGTCATAAATACGTAACTCCGAAATTATTATTATTTTTTTATTTTATTACGTTAAAATATGATTAGGTAAACGTAAATTAATAAAATTATACATTTTAAAAAATATTTGACAATATTTAGGTGTAAAAATGTCTCGCAGTAATTTTGTTTTTAGACGATGTATCTAAAACATTTTATACTGCGACTTTTAATGGTAAAACTGTGTAAATAATGATTATTTGTATTAACAATAACCACAAATGAATAAATTAAAACAATAAAAATACATAAAAAAGTTCATTTTACAAAATACAAACAAAACACAAATTATACCAAAATACATTAAATCTCAACAATATTAACTTTAAATACATAACAAGTCTAATACAGCTTTTGACAGTACACCTTTTTTTTTAACAGGTAACTTTCGTAGACCTGTTATGAAGGGATCTGAATGAAGAAGCAGCCTATTTACTAAATCTGTGTTGGTCACAATGCGACTCATTTTACGCGTATGATTTTTTCTAAAAGACTTGATGTATTTGTTAGTCGCTTCAGCTGCTTCTTCAGACAACTCTCCGATTGACAATAAACCGTAATCTATAACATTAGCACCATGAATTAGAACTTTGTGAACGGAAGCAGGCATGTTATACCACGGATACTCGGCAACTAACTGCCGAGCCGTCTCTAAAGCGAACTCTTCGAAGTTCGTCTTATTAATATTATATCCCGAATTTAAACATTGAAGGATGATCCAGCAACGATCTAGGAGATCCTTCTTGATCCCAGTAATTTCAGCGGAAATTTCTGAATTCGAGAAAAACCGCCTGGCTGTATTACCATCGTTTGATGTTCCGCTTCCGCCACTTTTAGGCTTATCCACTATAAGCCCTAATCTTTCTCTAAATTGAGTCTGAACATATGATTTTTTTGCAGCAACAAGCATTTTGTCATTAGCGGACCTAGCTTGCCATTTCCTAACATCTAACTTGTACGCGACATGAACAAAATATTCAAAAAAACGTATTAACGCGTGAAGAGGTGATAAACCAAATTCATATTTACTCTCATCGACTTCCTTATTTAAACATTCGTCAATTTTGTTCATTTCACTGGGCAAGGCGTTACAAATAAAACATTTTGATGAAGAAACACCACTAAGTGCATTACACACTTTACCATCTACCATAGTAAGTTGCAAACAATGAGTAATGCGATATTCGCGATCTTCTTCCTTGAAAACAGTAGGCTGCAAGTTCCTTATTTTATCTTTAAAATGAGCTTCTTCCTCAACTGACACTGCAGTCGATTCCTTCAAATATCGGAGGCGTATAGGACGACAGTATCGAGTTGATGAAGGACGAGGATTTTTCCACAAAACTACTGAATTTTCTTTGTTATCTGTTGTCAAAACAAGCTGAAGTGGCACATACGAAGTAACAAACAGGCTACTGTCTTCAAGAGTGGAGTCAGAAAAACACTGTTTATATTCTGAATGCCCTGTACTGCCATCGAAACCCCATTTCCCTATCAAAGATATCTTATCTAGAGACTCATTAGGTACACTATCCAAAACATCTTTTTGAGACTTGAGAATCCGATTGGCAGTATGATCTAATAAACTTTGAAGTTCGACTTCGGCGGATGATTCTGTAACAGTAATATCTGAAGGATAACAGTGTTTTTTAGATTCCACGACACTTTGGTAAGATGGGAAAATGGTTTTTGAAAACTTATTGTCTATAAATTTCTTTACTAATATATATTGATGTCGAGTTAACTGAGCTTCAACAATGAGCGATAAAACTTCGCTAGAATCGATTTCAGGACAAGACAAGCTATCGGACGCATTGAGCAATGACTGTACAAGAGAAGGGTCTTGGTTAGACAAACTAGCCAATCTTCTCCTTTTTGTACGTTTACTGGTGTCGTCAAAGTTAATTCTCGGACGGCCATGCGATGAAGAAGTTGATGGTTTAACTTCGTCAAAGCTCTGAGATACACGTAACTCAGTTCGCTGTACATCAATATTTTCAACGACATGCAGCCAATCTGAATATTTTTCTAAGAATTTAGATCTAGTACGATTCGACTTTGCCCAGTAGTGGGAAATTCGTTTACAAATATTCTTAATTTTAAGGTTTAAAGTCTCTAAATCAATATTTTCGATGTCGTCAGAAAGGGATGATGTTTCGGTCAAAGTACTCAGGACGTGTTGCATTTTTTCATTTGGATTACCCACTTTAGAGTGCCAAATATCAAAAATTGTCATCCTCGATACAGAACATTTGAAAAATGTACCTAAAACAATATGAAAGCTGAACTTAAAAAAAAATTAAAAATTCAATACTATGGACATGCATACTTTGACACCCCTTTAAGCCAAGAAGAGGCAGCAAGATGCAAATGAAACTTATAGCTCTTAATAAGGACATACTCCTTATTCAAAAACCATATACCTCAGGTGCAGCTCAGCGCAGCCAAAAGTTGTAGGTCTAAAGGAAATTAAGTTATGCCAAAAATTTTCACCAAAAAACTGCCTTCAATAAAAAAATTATATAAAAAAAATAATCAATAGATTAAGAATAGTGACACTCAAAAACAAAGTGATTAAGTTTCGATGACTCACACGTGGTGATAATTAGTCTCGCGATGCGCTCACTTCCGATGCACAAAAGTGAATGATAACGTGACCTAATTACATTGATATTTATAGTTTTTGGAAGCTTGTTAACTAGTTACTAACTTAGTGAGTTGATCTAACCGGGATAAGCCAATGATTTTTTTTGATTTATGGCCTATGGGGGAATCACAGTGCATAGGCTGCAGGTGTAAAAGGTCTGGCAATAAGCTTTGAATAGTGAAATCTTCACACTGTTGGTACACCTTGCAAACCTACGAGCCAACATGTTACCCCGCACTGCCAGCGCCCTACGCTCTCTTTCAACGTCAGTGTTGTCTTCCAACGACTCGGTAACCCAGTGCCCTAGGTACTTGAATCTCGGGACCCTGCTCAGAGGGGTGCCACACAACTTCACCTGTGGAATATTATTACAGTATTTGCTGCCTGCTCTGAACAGAAGCAACTCGGACTTCGCGACATTGTACCTAAGGCCATGGGCCTCAGCGTAGAGCTCACACATCCCAACTAGTCTACGGAGGGCACTTATCGAAGGACTCAGCAACACCATATCATCCGCGTAACTGATATTATTAACCATAGTACCAGCAACGGAGCATCCGACTGCGGTGTTGCTGAGTTCAACAATTAAACGATTCATGTACAGGTTGAAGAGACTCGGCGAGCTTAAGCCCCCTTGTCTCACACCACACTCCAACCTGTACATGGCAGACGTTGTGCCCGCCCATCGAACGTAGTTGAGTTGGTTGTCATACCAAAACCTAAAGATATTTATTATATCCCCTGGCAGGTCAGTTTCATTCTGTAACTTACTCCACAACCTGTCATATGACACAAGATCAAAAGCTTTGGACAGGTCGAGAAAGCAAGCATAGACAGGAGTACTTTTCGAAGTATAGTACTGGACAGTGTGCTTAAGGCAAAGGATAGCAGCTTCGGTGGACAATCCTGGTCGAAACCCAAATTGAGCATCATGTAATTTCAAGTGCTTCCTTAGATGCTTGTCAAGCAGACTGTCCAGCACTTTACCTACTATTGTGGCCAAGGATATCGGTCTATAGTTATTAATACTCGAGACATCACCCGTCCCGCTCTTCACAATGGGGACAACAACCGTTTTCATTAGATCTTGAGGCAAATGCGAATGTCCTATACACAATGTGAAGAATAAGGCGAGAACTCTAGGTAAGTGTACACTTCCATACTTCAAATGCTCTACGCTGAGAAAATCATGTCCCGGAGACTTGCCGCGCGTCATTCCCTTGATGACAGCCGCTACCTCCTTGGCCGTGAATCGGACAAGCTGTGGTTGCTGTGTTTTATTAAGATCCAGGGACTGACTCGCCGCAGGCCCCAGGGGCGACCTAACTGTAAAATGTGACCGAAATAATTCCGCTATTTGGAAGGGTTCAG